CAGGAAAAGGCTGCCCAGTGTCAAGGCCCTCGGGTGCTGGCCTTCCTCTGCCCCCCCCCTCCCCCAGGGAAAAGGCCTCCTATGGCAGGGATCCTTTCCCTTGGTGTGGGCTGCAGACCCCCAGAGCACCACAGTGAAGTCTGTGGACCCTTTCTCAGAGTAATAGTTTTAAATATGAAAAATGAAATTTGTAGCATTACAAAAGAAACCAATAATATTGAAATAGAGATGTAACTTCCCCCATCCAAGCACTCTTGCTCCCCACCCATACTCTTCCATCCAGTGGAAGGCCTCCTAACTGTGCCATGAGCAAGTCCGGCTATCGCTCAGCGTTGGGCATTTTTTCTGGCTCTCCCCCATGCCTGACCTCCTTGGCTTCCTTAAATCCCACCTTCTACAGAAAGCCTCCCCCCCCAACCCCTCTTAATCCCAGGGCTTTTAATTATCTCCCACTTATCCTGCATATAACTTGCTTTGTATATATTTGTTTGCATGTTCTCCCCTATTAGACTGTAAGCTCCTTGAGGGCAGGGACTGTCTTTTGCCTCTTTTTATACCCCTAGCGTTTATTTAGCGTGGCACCTGGTGCACAGTAGGCACTTAGTAAATGTTACTGAATTGAAAATTGAATCCCTCCCTTCCTTCCCTCCGACAACAAAATCTATCCGCAGACTCTAGGTGAAGCTCTCCTACTCTTAAGGTTCGATGTCCAGTTCTCCCCTTGCTTGGTTTAACTTTGTTTCCCTTGTGTGGTACAGTGGAAAAGGCACTGGGTTTAAATTCTGCCTCTGATACTTTCTGCCTATGTGACTTAGCTTTTCTAGGCCTCACAGGGGATTGGACCAGATGACCTCTTGAGATCCCTTATGGGTCTAGAGTCATGATCCCTTCCTGGCTAAAACTGATCTTTTTCCTCCTAACAAAAGCTGGCTTTCCTAAGCAGACCCTCCTAGATGGAATCTTTCCTTCTCTGTCTGTCTCCCTTCCACCCTACAGTGATAGGGGACCCCTGACTAGACACCAAGTATAACCCCAACAACAAAGTCACCACTCACTCTCTTTTGGATGGGGGGGGTGAAGAAAGGGAGGGATTTTTAAAAATAAGGGACAACCTGATAACTTTTTTTTCCAGTTTTTATTGAGTGAAAATGTCAAACCTTGCATCAGTCATGCAAAAAAAAATCAAATAAATAAAACACATATATTAAATTTCTAATAGCACTAAATTCAAGTGGAAAAATATTCAGTTCTTAATAACGCAGGTGCCGTGGAGACCAGATTCAAGTAATCGGAGCACACACTGTTCTGTTCAGTTTTCACTTTCTGCATTTTTTTTGTCTCAAAACCTCTATATATATCTATATATCTATATATATGTATATACATATAGATATATACACACACATATATATGTGCATACATATTATTTTATATTTATATATATACACATACATAGTTATAAAACATTAAAAAGAGCATTGGTGGATCAAGCATTTTTCCCCACAGAAAGAAAATAAAACAAAAATTACACATTAAAATTCAAAATGAGCTAGCAATGGCTTGTAGTCCTAATGTGCAATATATTACAAAAGGCTAGACTTCGCACTCTGTCCTCATCTTCTTTTTTTCCTTTTTTTTTTTGTTGCTACATTGAAAAATGTTTTATAATTTTTTTTCTTTACAAAATTCCTTCCACAGACTGAATCCAGTTTTTGTGGCTTAAAGCGGTGACGATGACAGGGCGATGCTGATTGCTTGTCTTCAGTAGCTGGAGGTGGTCACAGAGCTCAGGAGGAGCCTTTGGGTGGGGCAGATCGGGTGGGGGTGGGGGAGGTGTTGTTTTAAATTGATTTCTGTTATTTTTGTGTTTAATCAGTAATACTCCATCTGACCTCTCCTCCTGACTCTTTTCCCTTCCAAGCTCACTCGGGTGGGTGTGTCTCTCTAGGTGTGGGCAGCCAAAGGAACAAAAAATAAAACATAGAACCAGCTGGTTGGATGGGTTATACCTGGCTTGGTTTTGTTTTTTTTCCATTTTCACTTCAAAAAAAAAAAAAACCAAAAAACCCCAACAACCAAACTATTGTAAGGGGCAAATGAGGAGGTCTGTGGGAGGGGTTGGGGAGTGTGTGAAATGAAGGAGTTGGGGGAGAGGCTGTCCAGTGACACCGTCCTGGGAGGGTGACCAGCCTTGAGAAGGGTGATCTAACTAGCTCCCACTCAACTCAGTGTCAGAACCACGGACAAGACGGGCCGAGGCCTAAGGGGATGGAGAGGCTGAGGAGAGCCAGGGCTGGGCCCAAGCTCCTGCTTTTCTCTTGATTAGAGAGTTTCCTAACTGGCACAGGAGTCCTCACTACCCCCCTTGCTGAAGAAGGGAAGGGAGCCCGGTGTTGGAGGTACCTGTAGCTTGGTTCACCCCAGCTCAGGGACTGGCTTTTTTCCCCCCTCATTGCTAGGGGAGGGGCAAGACTACTTTGAAGGTGGAATGGGGACAATTTGAGGGGTGCATCAGTAAAGCAGCAGTCAAAACAAGATAAAACAGGGGGAAAAAAGCCTTAAGAAGCTACACACGTATAACTGATAAGAGGGAAATGTTAAATTAACTACAAACTTGTATTAACAGCATTTTTCCCCCCACTACAAAATTCAAGTCGAGTAGGAATCACACAGCTCCCATCAGTGCTAGAGTATGAAGACAGGCAGCCTCAGACTGTTAAGGCCTCTAACATAAACGCTAAACAAAAACCCTCCAGAGAGATTGCACACAAGTTACCCAACCTAAGGGGGCTAGTCCAGAAGGCAGGTGAGTGGCTGGAAGCCAGAATCAACTTCTCCCCTCCAGCACCCCAGCTCTCGTGTTTTTTTTTCTTTTCTCTTTTGTTCTACATAGAATAATAACCTTTACAGGAAAAATACTGTACAACTTTTTTTTGTAAATTTTTCTTTTTCATTTCTGAATATTAAAGCCAACAGTCACATCCGCCCTGCTTGCCACGACCTGAGCCGCTGGCTGTGAAGAGCCCCCCCTCCCCCCCTCATCTCCCCCAGCCCCATTTTTTTCCTTCTCTCCATCAGCACCATTCAGTCCTCCCCTTTTAGGATAGATGTAAACTGCAAGTTTCCCCTGGGTTTTATTCCCAGGGTGGGATTGGGAAGTTAAAAGGAAAAAGCAGACCGCTTTCCCCCTCCTCACCCCAACCTTTCAGAACAAAGAGGGAGAAAAATGCCCCCTAGGTTCGGGGGATCTTTGGGGCCACCACGTGGGGCAAAGTCTAGCAAAGGTTTCCCAGTTCGGTGGATTCCATGAGATTTCCTTGACAGTCTGCTGCAGTGACGAGTCCCTTCTTCCCCTAGGAACCGGGCCAAAGCGCGAGATGGGAGAGGAGGGGGAGGGGCTGGGAGTCACTGCTTGGCATGCTTCTCATCACTAATTGCAAAGTTAGGCCCTGACTGCTGCTTAGTACCTGGGGCTCTCCATGACCCTGCTCCTCCCCTCCCCACTCCTGAGGGCCCAGTGAGATACGTGGGGGGGGGGTGAAGGCCCCTGGGGGTGGGGGCTGATAAGGGCTGGCTCCAGATAGCCCTGAGGAGGGGGAAGGTCCCTGGAGCCGGAGGGTTCACAGTGGCCCTCGTGAGAAATGTCACAGTCCTGAGCAATATAGTCCCGTGGGGGGAGGGGAGCGTTTAAGGGGGTGAGAGGGGCCTCCAGACACTGGCAGGAGGGACCCTGAGACCTACTCAAGCCCCAGGCTGGGTGTGGATCGGCTGCTCTGGGGCACGTAGGGGGTTCTGCCCCCCAGACAGGGGTGTCTCCGCTTCCCACCCATAGACAAAAGCAGTTTCCCTGAAGCAAGCACCCAAACTCCAGTCAAACGTTCACCGAGGCCCCTCTGCTCTTGTCCTCAGCAGCGGAGACGGGCAGAAGGGGGCCCGCAGGGTCTGAGTGGGTTCGGGGTTCGGGTGGGGATGTCTGCGATCCTCCTCTCTGCTTTGGTGATGGCCTTCCCTCCCTGAGCTGTGCTCCCCCAAGGCCCCGGGGGCTGCCGAGACCCAAGACCGAGGGGCGGGGAGGCTGCCACCAGCACCCGAGGCAGGTATTGCTCAAGGCTCCTGGCCCCTTTCCAGAGGTGGCTGGGCCTCCCCCCTTCCCCTTCCGACGGTTCTGGGGAGGTGCTGGGAATTCTAAAGAAGAGCCTAGCTGGGTGGAAGAAGGAAGAGCCAGTAGGTGGGAAGGGGGAAACCCGAAGACCCAGGGTGGGACAGGCTTCGGCTGGCTCCCAAGGGGACACCCAGGATCTCCCCACTTGCCCCTGGGTGGCCTGGCGTCCCTGTCCCTGCTCTTGTGGCCAGACCACCACCAGGAATCCAAACGGACATCTCTGTACAGAGGGAAGCTTTACATATAAATATCTTAAAAAAAAAACATAATGAGGAAAGATCCGGGAGAGAGGGGCTGGAAGAACCGACTGGACGCCTCAGCCCCTCCCCGCACGCTTTCATTAAATGCTTTTCTGTTTAACAATAAATACCCCCTCCCCCAACCCTCCACGTATGAAGCCTCTTCTCCCTTCAGTTTAATGCTGGAGAGTGAGCTTGAGGAAAAAGAGACCCCATGTAGCCAAGGCCCTTTTGTTGAAATACCTCGGGGGGGGGTTAAAGGGACCCAGATCCTCAACCCCCTCCGGGGTTAAGAAGGCATGGGGAGACACCACCTAGCCAAACAGCCAAAGGAAGTGGGAAACGGGGAAAGTCCCAGGCCCGGAGGGCTGCGCTGAGCCCCCAAGGAGACGAGACGCTCTGGCTCTCCCCTTCCCCACTCTCCCCAGTTTCCATTTTATCTGCACGCTAAACTGGAAGCCAGGCACCCCGCAGACCCTCCCTGCCTCGGGCCTCTGCCCCCTCCTCGGCAGCCTCCCTCGGCTGCCAGGCCGGCTGGGCTGGGCGCGGGGGGGCCAGCCGTCGGGTTTCTGGTGTGGCCACGGGGGAAATGCTGGAGGGCTCTCGTCTATGGGGGTTCTGGGTCTCTGCTGTGTCTTACTTTCAAACAAAAACAAGCAAACGAACTAAGGAGACATACGCCTTGTCCGGGAGGCTACGGGGAGGTAGAAGCCGTCAAGTCTCCTGCGGGAGGCCGGGAAGCATCGCTGTGGTTCAGGGGACACGTCTCCTCTCCTGCTCCAGAGCCCTTGGCGCCAAGGGCTTCACCTGGGGCGGCGTCGGGGAGCGACTCCTCGGAATCCGTGTTCAGATCCTCCTCGTCGTCGTCGTCCTCGTCGTCGTCTTCTTCCTCGTCCTCTTCGTCCTCCTCCTCGTCGTCGTCCTCCTCGTCCTCCTCCTCCGCCTCCTCATCCTCATTCAGCTCTTCCTCCTCTTCCTCTTGGGACGAGTCGTCCAGGCCCCCAGCAGCGCAGGGCACCGCCAGCGGAGGGTCGGCGGGGCAGGGGCCCTGGCCCTCAGGGGGCTTCTTGCTCAGGTCCAGAGAGTCGTTGAGGCCCAGGCCCGCGGCGGCATTCTGCAGGAAGAAGAGGGGGCCGCCGGCGTCCGCGCCCAGGTTGAGCGAGCTGTCGAGGCCCGCGCCTTCGCCTCCGCCGCCGCCGCCCCTCGGGGCCTCGAGGTCCGGGGCGCCGGCCGGGAGCCCCTCGGGCCCCGGGCTGGCGGCGGGCACGAGCTCGCCCCGCTCCTGCTTCTCGTGCTTCCTCTTGTGGGAGTCCATCTGCGACATGCCCACCACGGTGTGCTTGCAGCCGGGGGCCGTGCAGTGGAAGTGCGAGCACTTGAGCTTGTACTTGCAGTCGGGCACCTCGCAGTCGGCGCTGGAGCTGAACTGGCAGAAGCCCGCGGCGCTGATCACGTCCTGCTTGCCGTGGTGCTTGCGGTGCGCCGTCACCTTGGTGCTGTCCGTGCAGCGGAAGCCGCAGCGCAGGCAGTGGAAGTGGGTGCTGTTGCCGGACCACTGGCAGTCAGCGAAGCCGCAGCTCAGAGACGCTTTGAAGCGTTTGAAGTCGTCCAGGACCAGGTTGTCCACGCGGTCGTGGTGCTGCGCGTGCTTGTACATGTGCGTGCGCCCGCAGAACTTGTAGCCGCAGTTCTCCCGCGTGCAGTGGTAGTGCGTGACCTTGAGCGAGAACTGGCAGCCCGCGTCCTTGCAGTCCTCGTAGAGGTCGTAGCGCCGGAAGCCCTCCAGCATCATGCCCTCGTCCAGCATCTTGCGCGATGACGCCGTCTTGCGGCGCTTGCCGAAGGGAGACATGTCCTCGATGATCCAGAAGCGCTTCTTGGCGCCGGAGGCGGTTGGCATGGTGATGGTGTTCCCTGTGGGGGGCAAGGGCAGAGAGGTGAGGCCGCGAAGGGGAGCCCCCCACCCCGTGTGAGGGGGCTCTTGGTGGGCAACCCCACGGCGTGGTGGAGAGGCCCTGCCTGCCAGACCTCGCTTTCCTCACCTAGCACACGAAGATGGCTTTCTAAGGCTCCTTCTAGCTCATAATCCTGTGCCCACGGCTGGCTGGCCGAGAAGGCCGCGGGGGTCCTGACCAATGGTCCACACCCCTACACCACAACGCTGACCCTCTGTCCTGGGTGCAAAGGGCTGAGAGGGCCAGAAAAGGCACAGCCTCTAAGAGCCGAAGGCATTTCATAGGTCATCTAGTCTGACCCGCGGCTGAGCGAGAATCCCAGCAACAAAATTAGTCCTCCCCCCCCCCCCCCCATAGCCAAGGCCTTTAGTCCACTAGGCAGAACCGAATAATCATGGTTGTTTCCTCTCCGAGTTCCCATTTCAAACTGAGTGGGGCATTCTGCATAATGACAGACTTGGGAGGCAGGAAGCCTGGCCTCAAATCCCCTCCTGGGCCACTTTCGGTGCCAGCCCTGTCTTCTGGGACATCCCGAGCCTCAGTTTCCCCATCTGTCAAACAGGCACTCCCTGTCTTGGGGGACATTCAGGAGAAGGCCCTTGGCCATGCTGGCACGCACTCCACGAATGTGGGTGACTGTCCCCCTACCCCACTCCCTTCTGGGGTTGACAGGCACTGGCAGCCTGCTCTGTGTGAAGAATGAAGACTGTTTGTTTCCTAACGGGGCTGCCCTTCATTTTGGGGTGGGAAGGGAAGAAGCCTCCTGAGTCTAATTGAAGCTGAAAGGGGAATCTAGGTCACCAGAATGTAATTACCCAAGTTGGATTGTGGCCAGGACACCATAATGTACCTCCCTCTAATGAGGGACGAGCAAGCTCTCTCTCCTGCTGATTAACCCCTGGCTTCCCCCAGGTCAGGCACGCCTGTCTGCACCAAGGGGGCCAACCCACTTTTGGCAGCAATCTGAAATGCTCTCCTATTTATGCTTTGGAAGAAAAAAACACACACAACCACCTATCACCCACACTGCCCTGAGGTCAACTTCCTACTTAATTCCCAAACTCTTTTTTTCCCCCCTCCTTCTAAAAGGTTTGGCGTGATCTTTCTTCCCCCCAAGGTCAATCAGTGGAAGTCCTTGTGGATGGAAGTCTCCATCTCTGTGGAAGGGAAAGCTTGTAACTGGGTCCAAAGGCTTGGGTTTGAACCCCTCCTGCCTTCAACCTTGAGGGAGGATGTAAGAGCCTTGTAGGCAGGGGCTAGTTTTATATTTGTATTCTTAGACCTGGGTTTGCCTTCCCCGGGGCTTTAACCTTCTGGAGAAAGTAAGTTCTTGGAGGGGAGAGGCTGTGTTCTTTTTTGTCCTACTCAATCTTCAGCAACACGGGAATGGGTGGTGGTGGAATTGAATGGATCCCCGTGCCCAGCACTGACTCCCAGATCCCTCCAGTGACAAATGGACACAAGAACGCTTAACCACGAAATGAAGAAAGCACCTTTGTAAGCAGAGGTAGCTTCAGAACTAACAACAAGCAGAAGATTTGAGGTCTGGTGACTGAGAGGGGTAGGGGCTGGGGGCTGTTCCTATGCCTTGTTAAGAGACAGCTACAGCTGCTGCCATCGAAGAACCAGCTTCTGGAAAACCAAGGCCTTGGGAGCTGATGGAGACACCCTGAAAGGGTCCCGAGGCCCCCAAGGGGTGTCCCTGGTCATCTCAAGTGGAAATGGGTGCCAGATAGAGGCTGGCCGGACCTTGCCCTCACAGCCTCTCTTTGTCCCCAGCACCTTCAGCTGTTCTGTGCTCATGTGTCAGGAACCCAAGGCCGATCATAGCTGTCTGATCGCCAGATCTGAAGACCTGTCCAACACTCTTCCTCTCAAAGGCTCATATTTGGATCTAGAGCTGGGACCTTATCTAACACCTTCATTTTACAGATGAGGAGACTGAGGCCCAGAGAGGGGAACTTTCTTGCCCCACATCATTGGAAGAGGTGAGCTGACGGAGGTCAAGATTTGAACTCAGGTCCTCTGATTCCACATTCTGTTTTCTTTCCACTGTACCACACTTGTAGGAAGCAAGGTACCAGACAAGCAGGTATAGATGGGGCTGTCACTCCTGGGGGTATCTACACTCCACCCGCCAGCTAGCACATTACTGCTCTCTTCCCCCACCCACAAGGCCAGAGCAGAAGCCCAGTTCCAGGGTGGACTGGACCGTCATCCCCAGTGCCTGGCACTGCTGCCTGACGGCTGGTTGGCTGAGTAGAGCCCTCCCTCCCAAAACACAGGCAGGATTTTGTTCCTCTGAAACATGACGGAAGGAGCTCAGGGCTTTCCCTGGCTAAATTGGCCCTAAAGAGCAAAGGAGATGAGAATAATCACTCACCACCTCTGCATACCACCCCCCAGAAAAGGAAACTCTCCAGCAGCCAGAGAATCAGGGATAGGGCCCTTTTAGGTCAAGGGCATTAGGAAGGAGAGAGAATCTAAAGTCAGTGCGATGGTCCAGGGCAGCAGGGCAGAAGTTTGGGGAAGGGGTGACTGCCAGAGATGATAAATGCTGATGTCAGAGGAGGGGTGGGGCAGAGAAGATCTAGTCTGGTTCTGGTTTGGGACTCTGGGTCTGCAAAGCCTTGGGATCTTGTGTGTGTGAGAGTGTGAGAGTCTCTGTGTGTGTGTGTGGAGAGAATGTGTGTGTGTGTGTGGGGGGGGCATCCCATTCCCATCTCTGCCTTGGCCCCCTGAAATTTCAGGCCCAGGCCTGAAATGCCCTCCCTCTCTCAGCATCCCCCACTTCCTTCAAGGCTCCACTCACATACCCTCACTTATACATATGGGAAGACTGTTTCTGATCCCTTTAGCTGGTGGCTGGTACACTTTACCACGTAAAGGATCTGTTTACATGTTGTATTCTGCCTCCAGGAGAGTGTAAGCTCCAGGAGGGCAGGGCCTGCTTTTCATTTTGTCACTGTAGCCTCACCACTAGCACAACTCAGTGTCTGTTGGCTGGCATTGTTTGTGGAGTGTGGTGGAGGGAAAGACACCCCTTATAAGTCTCCAGATGGGTTCTTCTGTTTAGACCAGTGCTTAGTGAAGTGCCTGGCATAAAGGAGGCGCTTAATGTTTACTGGCCGCCTCCCTCTGCCAATTCAGGCCTAGGCTTGGAGGGCAGCCCAGGATGCTGAGGTGAAGGGACTTTCCCAGGGTGACAAGAGTCAGCAGGAGCCAGGTCTTCCTAACTCTGAGGCAGGCTCTCTCTCCCTACCTCAGGGGTTTGGCTGCCCTCGAATGGCCAGGTTGCACCCGCTTTGGTCATCCCAGTCACAGACTTAGGCTTTAGGGAAGGGCAACGTGGGCACCTTCCTACAACCCCGCCAAAAGCCCTTTGAAGGTGCTTTTTAAAGGAAGGGGACCAGGTTTGTCTTTGCCTTCTCCAGAAACTATTTACCCTTTGTGTTTCCTCATCTGTGCACATGTTCTCTCTCCCCAGAATGTCAGCGTCCTGAAGGCAGGGGCTGTCTTTCGGTCCCTAGCTCCTAGAACGATGCCTTGCACATAGTAGATGCTTCATGAATTTGTACTAAATTTTTAAAAAATGGAATTCAGGGCATTTCACAAGTCTGAGGTTAATCTGCAAGGGGAAAATCCCCTTCATTCATTCTTATGACTTCCAGGCACACGTGCTCGGTGAGGAATAAAGAGTCTTGTTTCAGGCTGGGCTTGGCTATAGACACAGGGCAGGGGACCGGGGCGGGGGCAGGCTGAGCTGGGATGATGGTCCTAGCTTGGAATGGCCCAAGCATGCCACCTCTCTCCCTCTCCAAGGATCACATTCTCCCAGGGACCTGGGACATCCTGAGGAGCTGGCGAGGGCCAGGCAGGGCTGAGAGGGAGACGAGGTACCAGCACCGCTCATAGGAGAGCTGGACCAGGGGCTGTAGAAGGGTTGACTTGGTCATCAGGATTTTAGGGACTTGTAGGGACACTGCCTCCAAGGGGCCTTTGGGCTGGGCTGAGTTAGGGCTGATGCACTACAGGACCTGGCTGAGCAGACCCCATTCTCCATTGAATGTCCCCCTTGCTCACCAAGTTTATCTCTTGCCCCTACTGAGGTGGGGGGAGAGTGGCAGGGCTGTCTCCCCAGTGCCCAGAATGAATTCAGGCAGTCAGACTGGGGCAATGAAGGAGAGTACAAATCCCTAAAGGGCCCCTGGTTTGCTCTTGCCTATGATTGTCCTGGAAATGGCCAGCTCATTCCCACCTGGAGCAGGAGGCCTTTCCTAAGGTTACTTCTTACTGTAAATGACTCTAGTTCTCTCCATGTTGGGTCCTTTCTTAGATGGAAGATCCCTGAGGGCAGGGACAGTTTCTCCCCTTCCTTGTACCCCAGTGCTTAGCATAGAACTTGGCATTCAGTGAGTATTAATGAAGGGAAGGCTCCCACTCACACCCCACCTTTCTAGCCCTCCTTTATGAGCTGTCTCCTCCAATGGAATGTAAGCTCCTCGAGGGCAGGGGTCATCTTTGCCTTTCTCTGTATCCCCAGCATGAATACATGTTTGTGAACTGACTGACCGTGACAGCTCTGGGAAGGGCAGAGCAGCCCCACAGCGGCTGGGGGTGGGGATGGGGGTGCAGGGTGGATGGCACTCGGCAAGGAAGTTGGGGAGAGTTACCTGCAGCGTCCTGCACTATGGGGATGTCACTTTTGACTGGAGGTGGAGTGGCAAGGACAGACGGAAAGCCGGGCGTGCTGGTGGCGGGCAGGACAATGGCCCGGCTGCTTCCAAGGGTGGCACTGAGCAGAGAATATGAGAGACAAGACGGAGAGAGGAGGTATGGGAGGGAGGGGAGGGGCGACCTGAGCAGGCCCTGTGAGAAGGATGGAGGCAGTGGAGGCTGGGGGGCCGCATGGGGGGCGGCGGCCTCGTCGGCAGCGGCAGCAGGAGCGGCAGCAGCCAGGCAGCCTGGAGAGGGCGGAGAAGAGCAGAAAAAAAAACAAAAACAAAAACAAAAAAAGAAAAACAGAAAAAAAAAACAAAACAGAACCAAACGGAACCGAAACAAAGGACGGACAAACAAACACAAACAAAAGAACCCAAATGAGAAACCCAACGGCAGAAGCAAGTATGATGAAAATGGAGAAAATGTGTTCAGAGGTAAAAAACGGAGCTGTGATGGAGAGGAGATGGAAGGCAGGGGACAGGAGGGGAGGGGAGGCAGGAGGAGGGAGAGGGGGAAGGGGCTCAAGTCCTGGCTGCGGGCCAGCGGGCTCGGGTCAGGTCCCCTGCGGTCCGCTGAATACTGAAACAGACTCAGGGCCCTCCTGGCCTGGACCCTGACACTCTGCAGCCCGGGGCACTGGCTCCCTGGAACCCCTACTTCCTAAGGCAGGGACCCCTTCTCAGAAGAACGTTGTTAAATGCATAACATAAAATACAAATGATTGCAAAGAAAACCAATGCTACTGAAATAAATTTACCAAAATAGGTTCCCCCTCCCATCCAAGTTCATGGACTCCTGTGAAATCTGTCCACAAGAACCCAGATGAAGAACCCCGGACAAGAAAGAGAAGTAAGAAAGTGGCACAGTAGTGTCGTAGACTGGGCAACGGATCTGGAGCCAGCGTGACCCCTGGGTTTGAAGCCTGCCTCAGACCCTGACTCCCTGTGGGCAAGTTGCTTCACCCCACCCCCTCTTTGCCTCAGTTTTCCTTATTCATAAAGTGGCCTAGGTGATCGCTTAAAGTCTATGAAGTTGACTTACTTAACTTCTTTGCCTCAGTTTCTTCCCCTAGAAAATTTAGTCCTTTAGGAATAAAGCTGAGTGACCTTGGATTCACATGACATCTTTCACCTCAGTTTTCTGATTCATAAGAGGGGGGGTCTTCGCTCAATGGCTTCCAAGCCTCTTCTGGCTTTGGGTCTGTGAACCTATGGGTGATGCCCATAGGCCCTAAAGAAGGGCGGCTTTGACCTCCATCTGCTGGGGGGAGTCATGGGAGATGGCTGGGAGGTAGGGAGGAGGGTTTCCCATTTTTCTCATCAGGAGTAAGGAAGGTGGTCTGATTCACAGTCCCATCTCAGCTTTCCTCTTCCTCTGTGGGCCAAGGCTGGAAGCCTGCTCCCAGGGCCGGTGCAAATTCCTGCCCTCCCTACTGGTCTCAGCTCAGGCCAGTGGACAGGTTGGACTTTCATGCTGCGCTCCACGTGGTTTGTGGTCAAGGGAAGGCATAGATTCCCTCTTCCAGAAGTGGAAAAATGAAACTCCGTGTTTAGAGAGTCTGGCAGATGGCGAAGAGGGTGGCCACGGGTCACAAGGAGGCCCAGGGAGGCTGGACATCAGATAGTGGTGCGTGCAGTCCACACGTGGAATGGGAGAGGTGGCGGACCCTGTGTGACTGCTTGAGAGGAGAGCCGCTGAAGGCCACTGCTTATGTACCATAACCTGTTTGCCTGAATGATGGGGGCCCTGGCTGACTGGCTGCCTCATTTTCTGTGTCTCCTTCCTGGGTTTGTTTTTTTTTGACCCTCAGTTTAAAGAGCACAGGATTTAGGATGAGAAGATCAGAGTTCAAATCCTCAATCTGCCACTTGTTACTTGGGTAAATCACTAATCTCTCTGGGCCTTAGTCTCCTTATTTGTTAAATCGGGGGGGGGGGGAGACTAGATGACTCCTAAGGTGCCTTCCAGCTCTCAAGCTTAGGCTCTCTGGGCCTCGGCTTCCCCACCTGTAAAGTTAAGGGACTGGACGAGATGAGCCCCTTTCTCCCCGCCAAAATCCCTTCTAACTGTGTAACACTGAAAGCAGCGAGAACCTTCCTTCTGTCTCAGGATAGAGGGAATCGGAGTGGGGTGGGGTGGGGAGAACGGGGCTGGAGCACGCGGTGGCTGCAGGAGGACCAGGAGGGCCTGCGCTCTGGGCACAGGCTGCAGGCCTCGGGCCCGGAGGCGGCTCTCCGGGAATGTCCACTCACCTGCGGAGGTGCTCTCATTGCCCACCGGGGTGCTGGAGCAGCTTCGGTCCATGTTGGAGGACTCGGAGGAGAGCGCCCCGGGGCTGCAGCCCGTGTAATCCATGTACTCGTCCGTCTCGGTGTCCATCAGGCTTGGAGGTCCCTGAAATGAAGCGGGGGTCCCTGATGAAGCTAGGCTGGGGGCCATGCTGCCCACATGGCAGAGGCTTTCCTTCCTCGCGGGGTGTCCCATCACCTGGAAAGGAGAGGGAGGACGTTGGCTCCCGGGGGGGGGGGTGGCGCGTCCTTTCGACACGAAGCATGGCCCCAGCACCAGAGTGGGGGAGGAGGGGCCTGCCTCAGCTCAGTCTGCCTTCCCTCTGCTTACCTGAGTGGGAACTCGGTCAAAGTTCTTCCCCAGCATCCTCCGCATGTGCTTCCGGGCGTGGGATGTCATCTGGTGTTTGAGCAAGAAGGAAAACTGGCAGCCTTCGCGGATACAGTGGAAATGACTGTTGACCTGGTTGTACTTGCAGCCTGCGAACACACCCCACCCACCCGAGGGCTGTGAGCCTTGGCCAAGGGGTCCAGAGCCCACTGAGGTGGGGCGGGGGGCGCTCCAGGCCAGGGCTCCAGCTTAGCTGGCCTCTGGGACCTGGGAGGAGGCATGAGCAGTTCACTCCAAGGGTGCTATCCCACCCACCCCAGAGCTGTGAGCCTTGGCCAAGGGGTCCAGAGCCCGCTGAGGTGGGGGGGGCGCTCCAGGCCAGACCTCCAGCTTAGCTGGCCTGTGAAAGTGGGTCACCCCAAGGGCGCTCCCCAACCCCCCACTCCGACCTCAGAAGGGAAGCAGTAGTAAGCATTTCTAATGGGCCCACAGGGGTCCAATGGGAAGGACACTAGATTTGGGACAAGAGATCCTGGCTTCAGATTCCAGCTCCGTGGGCCTGTTCCTCGTCTATGGCCTAGATGGCTTCTCTAGTCCCTTTCTCCTCTGAAGTCTGTGATCTAACAAAAACCATTGTCATCTCCAGTCCCAACACAATCAGTCATGGAGGGCCAGGGGCACGAAGGCCGCTGACAGTGACGGGAGCCGCTCCCCTCAAAGGAGCCATCTCCCCGAGCCCCACCACCTGCTCCCAGACTTCCCGGGGAGGGAGCCTGTCTCTCCGCCAGACTCTGTTTGTTTAGACGGCTGCACGCCCCTCCCTCCTTCCCCATCCGCTTGTGCCGTTCTTTGGAATTAAGAACAAACAGAGAAGGCTCGATGGAAACAGTGTCGGTGGAGGGCAGGTGAAGGCTTGCCTGTTGCCATGGCAGCGGGCCCAGGCTGGGTGTTGGGTATCATGGAGGGGCTTTGTTTGGCCTCTGCTAGCACCTGAAACACCCAAAGTTGAGTAAATACTCGGGAAATCCTGACACTTGTAAACCGAGCCTAGGTATGGGGCCTGCTGGCCATTGCGTGTTGACATCTGTTGCCATGGTTACGAGCCACATCCCCAGCAGGAAGTCTTCACAAGTGGGGATGGTGGCAGTTGGGGGTGGGGGGAGAGAAGCGCTCCCTTTTCCCAAAGTTGCCTTTTTGAGTGTTTCTCTCCTTCGGCCTTGGAGCAGCCAGGAAGGGGGACAATGCCTCTTTAAGTCAGGGCCTCTGACCGGAATCCCTGGCCCCCAGGACAACCTTCCCTACAACAAGAGGGAGGGGGAAAGCCTCCTGGGCACTGCTCTTTCAACCAAGGCTCTCTGCCTGGGGTTTCTACGTTGGCTTCCCGGGTACAGAGCCATGGGCTCCCTCCAGCCATCTCCCTTCCACTCCCATACTGCCCAGGGTGCCAGGAGGGAGCGGCTGCTTGCCTTCTCCGTCTGCTCTCTTCAGTATCATTACCCCTGGGTACCATTCTACACCATCTCCTAGAGAAGCAAGGGTACTCTCAGTGGTTCCTTTGACATCCCCCAGAATCACCAAACTCCAAGGTGCTCCCTATCCTGTGGGCCCAGAGGCGAGTCCTTCTTCCTCTCTTGGCCTCAGTTTCCTCCTCTGTAGAAATGGGGGACGAGAGGGGGAATCAGATGGTCATCTGGGTTTGTTAGATCGGAGAAGCATGATCTTTATGACTTAAACTGGAAGGGACTCCAGAGGCTAACTCAGCCTCCTCCTTTTACAGATGAGGAAACTGAGGCCCAAGATCAGAACTGCAAATATCAATGAAGGGACCCCAAGGCCCAGAAGGCTCCCCTTTCTGAGCTCCTGGCTTCAAGAAGCAGGATTTCATCCAGAGGCATCTGCCACAGCTTGGCAGAGACAGAATGACCACTGGAGTCATCGACTGAGCCTTGAGCAGGCTTCCTCGGGAGCCGTGCATGCCCATTATGGCCCATGACCAAAGACCCCTAGGGGCTCTGCTTTTTGCTGGCATCCCTAACCAAACCTCAAATTCAAAGTGGATGAAACAAGGGGATATATTGCTTGCCTTCTCAATGGATGGGCAGAGAATTTGGAATTCAATTAAAAAAAAAAAGGATGCTAAAAATAAAGTTCTTCAGGGAGAAAAAACCCAAAAAACCCAAAGTGGATGAAACCAGGTGATTTCGAGAGCCTAACCTTGATGGGACTTGGTCAAGACAGGGACAAAAGCCAAGGAGGCCTCCAAGACGCAGACACCAGGTTCTAAGGCTGATACCCCACCCCAAAGGGGCCGGAAGACACCCTTGACAGGCCCATGAGTTACCTAGCCTCCCACACTCCTCGCGCTTGGTGAAATACTTGAACCCGTTAGCTGCCCGGCGCTCGGCCTTCTCATGTTTCTTTATATGCCAGGGCAACTTGGTTGTAATGTTGGTCACGAAGTAGCAGCCGGGCCGGAGGCAATGGTAGTGGCCTCGCATCCTGAACTCACAGTGCTGTGGGGGAGGGAGCAGAGAGAGGGAGGGGGCTCAGAGCTATGAGATGATAGCCATTCAAGCGTAGAGGTGGGACGTGAAGCCATGTCCAGTGGGCCATTCCCACTAGGCCACATTGCCCCTGTTGGCCAAAGAGGCACATTTACAGATCACACGGACCTTTGGGGTCATCTAATCCAACCCCCTTATTTTAAAGATGAGGAAACTGAGGCCCAGACAGGCTTAGTGATTAGCCTAAGGTCACACAGATCACAAGCAACACAGTCAGAATTCTAACCCAGCAACCCTTTTACGGCACATGCTGGAATGTCACTGCTCTGACATGGACTGCTTCACTTGTCTTTGTATTTCCAGAGCCTTGCACAGTGTGCCTGGCACATAAATGCTGGTTAACTGAGTGAGGACCCCAAAGAGCCTCTCTCTTTTCTGCATGCTTTGGTTCAACCAAAAAGGTGAGAACTTTCAACATGCATCTCCCCATCGTCTCAACTCCTGATTCTTAACATGGCACATGGGGAGTGAATGAGGTATACGGGCTAGTACCAGTGTTGGAAGGCAATGGCTAGACAGAGAGGAATGTGTCCTAACTGGGTTTTGGGGTCAGAGGAGCTGGTTTGGAATTCTGGTCAAACTGTAGCCCTTCCTCTGGGGACTCAGTTTTCTCATATGTGAAATGGGTGACTTGAACAAGATGTCGTCTAAGGTCTGCAGTAGGGCTAAGTCTATGACTCCATCACATGTTAGTCGATGAAGGGGGGAGAGGGGTTGACTGACTGGCCGCTGATATCTCTTCCCATCTAAGGATCTTAGAGCCCATTTGAGACGATGCAAGAAAGGGCTCCTCTGCCATCTTTCTTTGGGAAGATGATATACTGATGGCCAGCGCAGACTGCCCCTTGTGCCTGGAAGGCTCTCCCTCCTCACCTCCACATCTGAAGATCCTTGGCTTCCTTCAAATCTCAGCTTGGGACCACCTCCTACAGGAAGCCTTTCCTGACTGCCCCCCTCCCTTCCCCATCCTACTTCTGCTTGTTAATGCTCTTTCTTTCCTCAAACTATCTCATATTTTCTCATATGTCTTCATCAGGAGTTCTTAACCTTTTTTGGGTCCTGGACCCTCCTGGCATCTGGTGAAGCCCATGGGCCCCTTCCCAGAATCACGTATTTTAAAACATAAAATGAAATACACAGGATCACAAAAATATATTAAAATAGTTATTAAAATATTAAAAACAAAAAAAAGTTTATAGACTCCCCCGGTCAAGAAGTCCCAGGTTACAAATTGTCTCCCAGCACCCCTCCCTGCAGGCTGTAAGTCTCTTGAGGGCAGAAGCTGTTTCTCCTTTTCTGTCTTTGCATCCCCAGCATCTAGCCTGGCATATAGGGCCTTGTATACAATAGGCACTCAGTAAATGCACGTTTGCCTGGCTTGCACCGTTTGAGGTCTCACCACGCCTCCCTTGGCTGCCCCCCCCCCGGACTCCCTCAGCCCACTCCCCGGGGCCAGTGGTCTTACCTGATTCGGACAGAGACACTGTAGCGAATAGTAAGCAAACTGGTCGCGCACATTCACCAGGTTGTTGCTGGGGTTGATGTGGTCCAGGCAGTGTGATTCGGCCTTGCCGGAGGTCTTACAGACGTACTTGCAGTTTCCAAAGAGACAGTGGAAGTGGAACTTGTTGGCGTATTTGCAGTCATTCGCGAGGCAGGGGTCACTGGAACAGAGTGACAACCCACAGGGTCACTGCCGTCCTTGGGGCTCCACCCCCAAGCTGTTTGGGGTTCCCGAGGCTGGCTCCCCAGGTGGAAGGAGAGGGGCAGGTGTCTACATCCCACAGCCACAACTGGGGCTGCCCCCCAGGGCCACCCTCATGCTTCCCAGGGAGGTGCCAGCTCCATGTCCTGGCATGCCTGGCCCTATCATGATTCAAACGTGGCACGGAGCAGGGCCCGCTGAGCACACTGAGGGGTGCCCAGAGCGTTGCATGCTGGGACACAGAGCCTCCACGGACCACACCTGGGGTTTAGAGATAGGGACGACTGCAGTCAGTTTCCCGGGTATGAAAATCAGGGCTAGGGCCCCGCCAATCCTTGGCGGGATGCCACTGAGGGCCTAGTTGGCACTGTGTGGGCATTGCCCTACATCTGACTGGCTGAGCACAGCTGGAGGGGCAGGGCTGTTCCCGGGAGCTCCTCCACGTACAGGTGGACCCGGGAGATATCTGTTTGGCTTCTGGACCCTTGCAAAGGTTTACTGTTGGTGTCTGCCCACCGAAGATGGTCCCACCACCTCACGTAAATCCCCCTCCCCAGTGCAACCTTGTCACCCCATGACCTCTGTTGGGTTGTTGGGAGCCTTGCACCCATCCTCCCCCACCTTCCTTCTACTACCATCTTGTGGTCTTGGGAACACACTCCCCAAGCAGCTGTGTCCCATAAAAGGGCGAGTTCTGGGGTCTGGGAGGGGTGTGAATGACTGGTGAAATCCAGGGAGGTGCCAGCTTTCTCTTCTGACAGATCAAAGCTGAGGCTTTCTAATGGATCCCAGGTAATAGAGCTAGAAAGGACCTCAGAGGTCACCTGAAACTCCTTCACTTTATGGATGGGGAAACTGAGGCCCAGAGAGGTGGTAAGTGGGAAGGCCAAGATTTGAACTCAGGTCCTATGTTCCCAAGTACAGGACTCTTCCCAGTGTGCTACTGGCTTCTGGAAAGACAGCTGAGTGGGTGGGATTTCCATCCAAGACTGAGGGACATTTTGGAAACTACCATGGGGTTGAAGGGAAGGGTGACTGCCCTAGTTTCTTGCTGCAGACCCAACTCCCAGGGGGCTCTCAGAGAGGGAGGACAGCTTTAACGCAGGTGGTACGTGTTTACTTCCAATTTATTAGTTTTATTGAGAACAGGAAGCTGCGGTGCAGAGGTCCAAATACAGTCACCCTTCTTGCCGCCACCACTGCCCAGGAAGAGGGCCCCTCCCCCGACCCCCCAGTTCCAGCCCCTCCCCCAAGGCCCTGAGCCAACCTGTAGAAGGTAACAGTAGGGCCCCACTCCCTGCACCTGCCCCCTCCAAGAAAGCCTGGCTGTTGGGGAAACTGAGTCCCATGGCTTCAAGGGGCCAGAGAAACTAGTCCTATCACATGGGCTGGGGCAGTAGAGGCTCCCAGTTTCCTAGGGCTGGAAAGGACGCCAGAGGCCTTCTAGTCCAACCCACCCCCTGAACAGAGAAGGAAACTGTGGCCCAGGGAGTGAGAGATTCCTGCAAAGGGGGATTGAAATCCTCCCTGCTGGGCAGAGACAGAAGCCTCTCAGCACCACAATATCTTGGATTCCTGCTGCTTCCAGCCCAAATCTGTCCAAGGCACCAGGAACAGGCCCCAGCTAGGCTCGAGCATGAGGACCCGTGCAGGGCAAGCCCGCCCCCTCCCCCAAACCACCCCGGTACAGGAGTCCTGCTTCCGATGGGAAGCTGAAACAGGAGGTCAGGGTGTTAGCAGCAGCATCTTTGCAAGGGAAAAACCTTGACTGACTAGCCCATGGCGAAGCCCGAGCACAGACTGAAGGGGAAACCTTGGGGGTCTCGGGGGGGACCGGGACCACCTGGCTACCCCTCCCCATTCATCCGAAGGACTCACTTCTCCTGGAACTGGAGGAATCCAGGTTTGACTTGGGGCTTGGCGTTTTCTAGAGAAGTCGTGGCCAAGGGCGAAGCAGCCATCCCCGGCACCGATGACGGAATCTGAGGCATCTGAGGGATGGTGGAAGCCAGCTGCTTCCAGGCGAGGAGGGTCGGGGCAGAGGGCATAGTGGCTGGGCTGGCAGTGGGCACCTCCAGGCTGGAAGTGGTCACTGCCGCTGCCACAGTGGTGACAGAGGGTGCTGGAGGTGAAGACGGGGCCAGCGAAGGCTTGGTCTCAGCCGCTGTGTTTGGGAAGGAGGCTTCCGTGTTTCCTTTTACCGCTCCTCCTCCCTCTGTTCGGAAGTGGAAGCTAGAAACAGAGAAGGGGCTGCTCAGGTGAGAAGACTGGGAGCTGGGAGGGGCTGTAAAGCTGCAATGCACTAGGCTGGAGCTCCAGAGCTAGGATCCTGGGACCCCTTTCCCACCGCTAGACAGAGGAGGAAACTGAGGCACAAATAGGGCCTGCCCACAATCACATACTGAGGGAGTGCTGGATGCTGCCTCCAAACCCAGGCTTCTTTCTGCTTTGTCCTGGAGCCCTGCTTCTCCTCCAAGTGTGGGCCTGCGATGTCCTGCTCCCCCACTAAGACCACCACCCGTCGGCTGTCATGGAGCCCTATCTGAAGGACAGAGAGGAGGGGTCCCCCTGCTGTTCTCTCCCTGCCCCACCTTGGGGCTCCCTGAGCTACCCAGCTCATGGCACCATAGAGGGCATCAGGTTTTTCTGGGATGGCCCAGGTGAAACCATAATAATCTTCACATTGACATAGCTTAACTCATTTGATTTTCACAACATTTTTGGAAACAGGAGCTCTTATTAGCCCCATTTTACATTTGAGAAAACTAAGGCTGAGAGAGACAGGGAGGATGCCTCAGGTCTTCCTGACTCTAGGTCCTGCTCTGTTCACTGCCCAATTAGAGGGCAAATGGCCTGGTTCTTGGATTTGTTCCCAACTTGCCCTGTGTTCAGGCCTGGGACTGGTCAGACTTTGCAGGGGGTGGCGGAGGATTCTAAAATCTGGGCATTCTTGCATTGGGCCTTCTTCAGCAAGGCCTCTTCCTTGTCTTGGGGGCAGAAGTGATTCTGAGGCAGAGAGGTAGTTAGGACTAGCCTCCCAAAGCCTCTCTGGGGTTACTATGTTCTAGGATTCAGCAGGCTGTGATGAACAAATGCCCACTGGGCAATAAATACTGATTGGATAAAAGGAGTAATAAATTCAAATTTGCCATTGGCAAACCGGGAAACTAGACTCTCCCAAAAGTTGACATGACAGCTTGATTCAGGGCTTAAAAGCCAGTGATGACTTTTTTTAAAAGTAAAAAAAAGATAAATTAATAGAATGACCAAGGTTGTCCCCCAAAAGGTGATGCACCCCTTTCAATGCTGAAGTGGGGGACTATGGATGTGGAGTACTGCATATGCTATCAGACTCAGCTGATTTGTGACTTGGTTTTCCTCAAAAGCTTTCGCCCCCCTCCTCTTTCTTTTTTCATTTTGTTACAAGGGATGGCTGTTGGGGGTAGAGAAAGACAGAAAGGGGTAAATTCCAAAATGAAGGTCTCATTAAAAAAATATAAATTTTATTGTTATTTTTTCAATATTATCAGTTTATCCATAACAAAAAAACTTATTCAATAAGTCCAGTAAGTGGATAAAATAGCATCACTGGAATTTTTTTAAACTGCAATAAATTCAGAAATGAATTTAATTAAATCTCTAAGTCAGCAAATATAATTAAAATATTATTTTCACAGTATTTGATGCCCTAAATCAAGCTTAGGCTGGCCCCATCTGTTGCCCTAAAGATGGACCATTTTCTGACAGTGAGTGTACTTGCACGGTATTAGCTTGCAGGAGTCTAAATACAACCTTTCCAGCTTGGCTTTCCCCTTTTCCCTGATGGAGACAGACACTGGGCTTCCTGGCTGACGCCAGGGTTTGGGGATATGATATGGGGCACATAGATATGGCTAGGTGGGCCTAGAGAAGGAAGGCCAGACCGTGCTCTAGAGAGACTACGAGCTGGAGAAGAGGATGCTTTGCACTCCCCTCGAGCCTTGCAGGACTCCGAGGTGCCTGACAATGACCACACCTCACTCACTCATTCTCATGCAGGTCAGGAAGGTGGACAAATAGAGGACAGACTGCACTATAGATGGACTGCCTTTCAGTGGGACCCAACACATTCAACGGGACTTCTCGTCAAGGGCTGGCCTCAGCCATTCTCTGTTTCACAAGGATTGTGGGGGAGGGGGAACCGGGGGCCCCACAGGACTTGAGGGTCACCAGAGCTCCACACTCACTTGGCATGTTTGATGGCCCCGTCCAGGGTGCTGAACAGGGCGCCACACTCTTCTACCACGCAGTGGAAATGAACTTTGTGCAAGAAGTCACATTGGGCATCGCAGAAATCCTTGGTGCCGAACCTGGCCAAGACAGGGAGACTCAAGGTTAGAGCCTGAAGCTCTGCCTGAGATCCTGGGAAGAAACCTTGGCCAGGGCCGTCTCTAGGCCCAAGCAGCTGGCACACTAGGCCTCTAGGGCCCCGCCCTCCATCCCCTCATAATACTTTGTACTATGGTACTGAGATTGTAGGGGACTCCTGGCGGAAAACTCCCTCCGTCAGCGCAGACTCATGAGCCTAAGAGAGTCTCGGGTCCACTAAGAGGTCAAGTCCTCAGTGTCACCAGTTGAGAGGTAACCAAAGGCTGGACTCATCCCAGGTCTTAACTGTGAGGTCTGTCTTCCCCATCCTATCCCATGATGCCTTGCTGTAATGACTTTGTACATGAGTTGCCTCTTCTTATCGGCTTATATGTTATTTCTCCTCAGTAGAATGTAAGTGTCTGGAGGACAGGGACAATTCCCTTTTGATACCTCTGGTATCTTGTATGGTGCTTTGCATACAGTCGGTGCTTAATAGATGCTTGCTTCCTTGTTTATGAATGAAAATATGGGTGGTTCAAGTGTACCCAAGGACCATTTTTCTCGGACTAATCCTTGAAGCTGTTTTTCTAGTTTTCTAGCTAGGCAGAAGAGCAGATAGAGCGCTGGGCCTGGAGTCAGGAAGACCTGAGTTCAAATCCAGCCTCAAATATTTACTAGCTGTGTGATCCTAAGGAAATCATTTCACCTCTGTCTACCTCAGTTTCCTCAACTGTAACATGGGAACAATAACAGCAGCTCCCTCACTATGGTGCTGTGAGGATTGAATGAGATATTTGTGAGGTGCTTAGCATAGTTCCCGGCCATAACAGGTGATGTGTGTGTGTGTATGCGCACATATGCATGCACACATGCATGTGTGCACGTCTAGCCGACACACACGTGTGTGTGCACATGCACGCATACACACCATAGCTATACACATAGGTGCACATATGTATATATGCATGCATCACAATACAGGTCTATGCACACACACATAAATGTATGTGTACTACATCCATTCACATATAATACATGTGTATATACATGTACACATATCAATGTGTATACATGTGTGTCGGTGTGTGTATGCACATATATGAGCGTCATATGGAATACGTGCACACACCTATACACATAAATATACACATATACACACATATTCCCTTCCCTATTCCCCTTATTCTTCGGGTAGAATACAGGCTCCTTGAAGGCAGGGTCAGTTTATTTTAGTGTCTAACACAAGGCTGGCATACAGCAGGAGCTCTCTAAATGCCTGACGTAGAACTGAACTGGCAGGGCTTCTCAGTCTCATGACGGCAGGCTCGGCAGAAGGAAGACAGGCTCTGGACCCAGGTAGTGGGTGCAATGGTGTCTGAGTTGCAATCTGCCCACTTGCTCCTCTTCCCTTGAGGAATATCTTCCCCAGAGACCCCAGGAACACTGCCTCCCTCGGTTTTTCCAGTGGGGCCCCCGGCTCAATGCATGACAATGGAAGCGGCAACAATACTAGCTGGTGCTGTAGAATGCTGTAAGGTTTTACACAGATTATCTCGTTCAATCCTCTCTACAGTACTATTCCAAAAGAGGTGCTTTTATTTTGCAGATGAGGAAACTGAGGCTGATTCTGAGGGGAAGTGACTTGTCCAGGGCCACATAGCTAGTAAGTGTTGGAGTCAGCATTTGAACTGGGGTTATCTGGACTCCATGTCTAGCGCTTTATCGGCTGGGCCACATGGTCCCTTGCTACCCGAGGCAGACAAACTGCAGGAAATGGTGCCAAGCGGCTCTGACCTCCATCTACGCCACAAAGCTACTTTTCACTACTTTGCTAACGAGTCTGCTCTGCTGACCCATGACGTCGCCTCTCTGTCCTCCATCTCCCCTCCTCCCATACCTGCGCAGGTATGCCTTCCAGGGCTCGGACAACTTCTCCTGAACCAGGCTCTTCACAGCCTTTCCCAGGTACGGAGAGGATTCTCCAGTGGCGCCCCCTTCTGCCTCAGTCTTGATGCTCAGCAGGCTTCCGAGGCTGGGGTTGCCTTGGGACATCTGCAAAGGAGAAAGAGACAGGATAGGAGGGAGGGGAACCGAAGACCCGAGGATACAGTGCACAGAGGAACAGGGGGTGCTTCTGGGAGTCTCTCCTACCCCTAGCTTTTGTTTTGGGATGAGAACCAAGCGGGAGTGGGACTGGGGAGGGGGGCCGCTGAACTCAACGCTGCGTGAGACATCACCCAGCCCTCCTCCTCCTCCAATGGACGGGGCCGGCAGCGACCTTCGGTGGGTCAGCACCAGACCTATGGATATTCAAAAGCCCCATCAGTGGTCCTTCCCCATCAAACCCCATGCTGTTAGGAGGCATCACTCAAGTCCAGGCTGTGACTCCATCCCCTCTTCCCCCAGACTTGTTGGCTCCCGGGCTATTTTCCTGCCAGAAGGTTTTCAAAAGAAATGCGAGAGGAGAAGGAGGAGGGGGAGACTGGTGGAGGGGGAACCCCTACGAATTCCTTTAGAACAAGAGAAGGCACACAAAAGATGAGTGAAGAGGGAGGGGAGCCTCGTAGAGGGAGCCGAAGACAGGCTTATAAGGAGGAGGAAAGGAGGGAATGGGGAAAGGGGAGAGGGCGAGAAGGTTCGACCCGCTCAGAGCCAGGAGGCTCAGAGGCGGAATCCAAAAGAGGGAGTAGAGAGCCGGGGAACCGCTGGCCAAAGAAGGGTAAAGGAGAGAAAAGAGCCGGGCTCTCACACCAATCCCCTGGCCTGGCCGGTGCTGGTGATGATGAGAGAGAGCTTCAGGGACACCAGAAGGACAAACCTCTAGCGCCCATCACGCAGCCAGATGATAACACGCGGCCCAAGCCCAGCAGCGTCTCGGCTCGCTAATGCGGTTGTGTACAGTAACCAAATTAATCTCGCCAGAGTCAAATTTATCATATTGGGGGGGGAGAAATATATTTGAGGTGATGTATAATTTAAAAAGACCCTGCATTATTTAAAATAAATATTCCGGAGTGTCCTACCCAGGAGGCATCCTGATACCATTACTCACACCCCGAAAAGTGAAAATTGATGCTTTGCTCCCACTTTGATCTCCAGCCCCCCCACTTAAAAACCTCACAAAACAACAAACAAAAACACATAAAATGAATAAATAACATTAATAACTGATAAAGAAAGAAGTTGGAGAAGCTTTTGGAGTCCTCCATCTGAAGGGAAGAGGGAAAAAAGGTGTCAGAGGCTGGGATATATTTCTTCAGCCAGTTCATTAAATTAATTTGTAAGCAGTGGCTTTGAAATTATACCCGATGAAAAATGGTCTCACAATTTAAATGGTACAAACTCATCTTATTAGAGGCAAAACATTAAAAAACAAACACATCCCCCCACCCCTCCTCACCCAGCTTTAATTTCTGTGGGTGGGGGGATGGAAGGCGTGTGATGGATGGCCCTTACCTTATTCATAAGCGAGGATAAAAGAGATGAATTTGCTGCGACTACGTGGCTATTTGATTCATTGCTGGAACACACAAACCAATGGGCTTCAGTTAAGATGTGTACGGGGACTGGGAACCCAGGAACCCAGAGATTAATTCCCCTCAGGGCTCTCTCCCCAGCGCCTAATGCATCTGCCAGGGGAGGAAGGATGACACCCCCTGACAAGCCAAGGGCTTCTTGGAGAAGTCACAAGCAGCCTGGCCGGTCGCTCTCTAGCTACTTCTAGCACAAGTACATTTTAGCCTGGCTCATGAAGTACCCAGCCCAGGATTCTCCTTCTGGGCTCCCGCGTGGTAGAGGAGGATCATGTCCTTGGAAGTCGCTGAGAACTGGAAGGGATTTCAGAGACCACCTGGTCCAGCCCCGTCATTTTACAGTAGGACTAACTCACTCGTTCAAGGCATGAGGCCTTCAGCAGAGTCACTTACTTGGTATCTTGGGGCTGGGTGTGTGTGGGGACCGTGGTTTAGATGCCTGAACGTGTACTGGGAGGACAGTGGACATTGGTGTCTTGGGGGCTGCAGGTGAATGTGCTTTCTAAGGACGCCCTCTGAAGAAGGGCCTTCCTAGCTCTTCGAGGGGCTCAGGCCCTGCTCCCCCAAGCTCACCCGTGTTCCTTCACACTGAGGTCCAGACTGCGGTCCTGCAAGGTCTCCTGGGAACCTGAGGAGGAGGAAGTCGAGGGGTTCTCGCCAGGGTCCTGCTTCACCTGGGTTGGGGGGAACCGTCCAGGAGGGATCTGCTGCTGCTGCCCATTCCCTGTGGCAGAGGGGAGACACGAAGGGTTACAGAACCAGGGTAGGGGAGAAAGGGATGTACGTATGTGTGTTAAAGGAAGGGGTAGGGTACCCATTGAAAGGCAGTGCCCTTCCCAAGAGGCCAAGCAAATAGCCAGAGGGCAAGAAGGAGGGGGCACTGCCAGGGAAGGAAGTGGGAGAGGGCTCCCCCACCCCCTCTGCAGCCATCAGCCCTGGAGGGAGGGAGGGATGGATGGATGGGATGGATGGATGGATGGATGGATGGTAGGCCAGCCAGGAGGCCTGGCTGCTGGTCAGCGTTTCTCCCCCTCTGACGTGATTACTTGTGACTCTCACCCCAGCATGGCAATTCTTCAAGTGATAATTATTGCAAAATTATGTCAAAAGTTGTCTGGGCTCAGGGGGCCTCCTGGAGGAGAAGGGTGGTAGCCTGGCAAGGGAAGGGGAGAGCCAGGGCCTGGTGGGTGGGTGGGGGGAGGAAGGGAGCCCACCCCACTTCATTTTCTCCACCAACTGTCACAAGGAATTTGCGGGGACGTCGCCTGAGCATTTATTAAAGTCTCTGTTAATGTTGAGTCAGAGCGGTACATCGAGACTGCCAGGCAAGCCCCCTTCTCCATCCCCAGCTCCTCGTTGCTGTGGTGACCGGGCTCCGCATACCACTGGGCATGCCCAGGAAGAACGTCTGCTGTGTCAGGGCTATCGAACCTGACAGCCAATCAGATTGGTTCAAACTGCGTGACCTCTCTCTCCCATCTGGCTGCCCGGGTGAGGGGGCCATGAGGCTACGGCCTGAGGGAGGAGGATGAATGGGCCCCCGAGGCTGATTTGGGGGGCTCCAAGAGGGGCCAGAGGTGGGGGGGGCAGAAGATAACAAAGGAGGTAGAAGAGAAGAAAGGACAGAGAGAAAAGTTGCTGACAGAAACATGTCCACTGAGCTTCCTTCCACAATCCCCAAGTGACTAAAATATTAATTTACCCCGAGGCACTACAGCTGACGGACTGGCTGTTTCACAGACAGCTAGTGGCATTTTATTAAAAAATAAAGGAAAATGGTACCCTCGGTGACCTTTCTATTTGGGTGAAAGGAGATTTTTTTTTTTAAACTAATGAAACTAAGTGTTGGAAAGTTTGGGTGTCTGGCCTAGGGGAAGGGGCTAGGGTCTGTGCGGAGAGCAGTTCTGCCCATGGGTCTCTCTCTGAGGCACAGCTCCCTGTCTGAGGCTTTGCCGGGGCTGGGCGAGTGAGTGGAGACCCAGGACCACCGCTGTAGAGCTAGAAGGGGCCTCAGAGGCCATCCAGCCCACCCCCTTCGATTTACAGGGATAGAAACTGAGGCCTAGAGAGACTTGTTTAAGGTCACACAGCTAGTTAAGTATCCGAGGCAGGATCGGAGCCCGGGTCTCCCTGAGTGCAAGTCCAGGATGCTATTCACTGCCCCACGATGCCTTCTGGGCTTCTGGCCACTCTGTATGAGTGGAATGGTCCTGCCCGCCTATGGAAGCCTGAGGCCAGGAGGGAATCCAAACCCAGGCGATGAGAAGGACCCAGGCCCTGCTCTACAAATGCCTTTGGCAGCTCCCCAAAAGAGGCCAGGGTCAGGAAAACAAGCGAAAGGGAGATTTGAGTCTTCGAGGATGGGGGCTAATTTGTATTTTCTTTGTGTAACCCCCTCCCATCCCCTGCTTAGAACAGTGCCATGCACACAGTAGGTACGTAATAAAAACGTGTTGGCTTGGATGGAATGAGGAGCCCAGTGGAGAAGGGATCAGCCCTGGAACCTCAGGTCCTCCTTCACTCGGGGACCTCAGTCACAGCCAGTTCCATGCCCCAGGGAGGCTGTGGTTGGGGGGGAGGAAAGGGTCTACCTTTCTGGAGGGCAGCGGTCACCTAGTTACCAAGACCAGCTCAGCAGGATCTCCTCTCCTCTCTGAATGGAAGGAAAGAGGGAAATGCAAAAGGAGAGAGGGGGAAGGAGAGGGGGAAAAAGACTGAGCAGAAAAGACAGGCCAAATCCATGGGGAAAATGGGAGAAAAAATGAAATATTAGAGAGAAGAGAGGAAAGAGAGCTGGCCTGAGAGTCAAGAAGATTGGGGGACGAGTCCTGGCTTTGACACATACGAGCTGTGTGACCTTGGGCAAGTCACTCACATTTTCAGTGACTCCCCAGAACAAGAGTTCCCTCCCTGGCTACTGATCCCCTAAACGTGTCCTGGCTTCTTACTGCAATGTAAGCTCAAGAAGAGCCTCGTCTGTGTGTGTTGTGTCTCCTGGATCAGTGCCTGGTACCTAGTAGGTGCTTAATAAAGGCTCATTCATTCATTCATTCAGCATCCTCCAACAATGCTCTTAGATTGATGGAAAGAGTTTCCACCCAGCAATCCTGGTTTGGACCTCAAAAAATACAGATGGAAAAAAGCCAATCAACTGAGGTTCTGACCTCCCCTCAAGGTGCCTTCCCAGACCTTCCTCCCTCCATCACACTGGGGTGACAGCAAGGATACCCCCAGGAAGAAGGAAGAGAGGACATCTTGCCCCCTATTTCTGTTTCTGACCCCTGGTCTTCACTCTAATGCCAATGTCCCTAACCTCTTTCCTTTTTTTTTTTTTAACAGAACCTCAAAACCCCAGTTTCTTCAGGTCCCACCAGGGTAAGGGAACAGCTAGAGAACCCGTTAATGATGAAAAAGTCTCTTAGCCTCTAGCTTAATGTTGGCTTTCTTCCTTTTAACCCCCCTTCCCCCATCTTTTCTAATACTTGGGTTGGGAGAGTGAGCCTTATTTCAGGATCAAAGCACTGAGAAGCCTGGCCTCTGATTTCTGGTTTAAATTTATTCTGATAAGGAATGGAATCTCCCTGAGGTCAAACAGCTAATATGGTTTGGGATCTCCCCTAACCCTGGGAAACCTGCAGGAAAGGAATCCTTGGAGAACCGAGGCTCTCAGGGAAAGACCTGGTAGGCAATTAGCTAATTGATGCTCCCAGCACCCCTCACCCTTCTGGGACTTAGGTATTCATACCCTGTCCCTCTACATCAGGCCCCCTGGCCCCACCTAACCCTGCCAATGTACTCAAAAGATGGATCACAGATTTGAACGTGGCCCAACACCCTCCTTTTATAGATAAGAAACAGGCCCAGGGAGGTTGTCTCTTGTTGGAACCCAGGAGTCTCTGACTTTCCACTGCCCTCCCCCCACCTCTCTGTTTAGGTGATCTTGTCCCAAATTCCACATGGAACAACCTGGGAGGCAGGCATGAGGGCTTGTCGTCCCTCGTGGGGGTTTCACGTGGGGTCTTGGGGAGAGGTTAGGGCTTGGCGCAGGGCCCAGATTGAACTGTTCTCGGCTACACGGGTCCTGAGAACATTAGGAGGGAAGATGGTGGGAGGAAATGAAGGGGTGGGGTGAAGGGAATAGATTAGGAGAACAATAACTCTGAGGGTGTAGGGGTGGGGTCTAGTCTGGCCACAGCCAAGTCTTCGAGGGGACACCACTGCACACTTAATAAATGCCCTATGAATGAATGAATGCATGCATGAATGCATGCATGAATGAGATGGTATAGATGCAGCAGGTGAGAAAAGTGAACCAGAGAGAAGGTGGCAGGTCGAGCTCCTCGGAGGGTAGATGAGACAGGGTTGGTGGGGGGGAAGGAGGGCATAGTGGGAAGGGCCAGACAGCGGTTTACAGACCTCCCCCCTAAGTCCCACCCTTTCCCCCAAGCCTACAGTCCTTTGGCCAGAGTCCTGGAGAACCGATTCTTCAAGGACCTTCCCGGGCTCGTGGACTCTTAGCTCTGGCTCTAGAATCTGTAAGCACTGTTTAAGCACCTACTACGTGCCAGGCACTGCGCTAAGCACCCATCTAGAAGGGACCTCAGCAGGCATCTAGCCCCAGTCTCTCATTTTACACATGAGGAAACTGAGGCCCAGGAAGGTGCGAAGTCTGAGAAGCTGCAGACCCCACAGCCAAGCTTGGCTAACTAAGACTTCCTTCCCCACCTCAAAAACTCCACCCCTGCCTGCCCCGCCCCAATCCTACCCACTCACCCGGCTCGAAAGCCGTCGTCGAGGGCTTGAGGGCTGCCGCGGCCAGCCTGGCCATCATGGGGGAGATGAGGCCCTTGCTGGCGGAGATCCTCTCCATGATGGAGGCGGCGGGGGCCGGGGACGACGTGGAGGCAGCCGGGGCAGAGTCGCCGGGCCCGGAACCGGCCGGCGTGGGGGTGTCCGGAGCCCCGGCCGCGGCCCCGGAGGACAGGGCGCCCATCAGGCTGGGCGCGCCCACGGGCAGCGGGGTGCTCACGCGTCCGGGCAGGATGGGGAAGAAGGGCCCCGCGGCCGGCATGGCCGAGTTGGAGAGCGCCAGGGCCAGCGGGATGTTGCTGGGCAGGGCCTGCTGGAGCAGGCCGGACATCTTGCCGCCTGGCGGCTTGGCCGCGGCGGGGGGCGGCGGGGCATCGCCGGGCGCCGCCAGGGACGCGGCCGACTGCTGGCTGGTGGGCGACGCGCTCAGGCTCGAGTTCTTGCTGCTCATGGCCGAGAAGTCGACGAGGTCGTCGTTGCTGGACTCCTCGAGCTCGGTGTCCTTGGAGCCCAGCAGCGCGGCCGGCAGCCCCAGCACCCCCGCGCCGAGCGGATGTGGCGGCGCTCGTGCTTGCGCTTGTGCGACGTCATCTGGCTGGTGGAGGTGAAGGTGAAGCCGCAGCCGGCGCGGATGCAGTGGAAGTGGTTGGTGGCCTTGCTGTACACGCAGCCCTCGTACTTGCACTCCTCGTACTTGTAGAACTTCTTAAAGCCGTCCTTGGCGTACGCGTCGTCCTTGATGTGGTAGCTTTTGTGCTTCTCGATGTCACACTTGTTCTTGAACGTGAACGTGCACCCGGGGCGCCTGGGGAGGGGCGGGGGCGGATGGTTAGGGGAGAGGGTCCGAGAGGCACCCCCTGAACGGGGCCCCGGGGCTTGTGCGTCAGGAGGAGACCCAGTCCGGGGAGCCGGCCTGACCCCTCCTCACTCCCTGGGTCAAGACTGATCATTTGCAGCCTGGCCGCACCCAGCATCCCTCCATGCCCCTCCCTCTCACCTGCAATGGAAGTGAGTGGTTTTCTGCCCGTAAAACTGGCAGTCCACAGTGCCACAGTCCTCAGTGGCCCGGAAGCGCTGGAAGCCATCGTTGATGAGCTGAGTATTCTTTTTGTGGAAGTTCTCGTGGGTCATGACGTCGGAGGTGCTCGTGTAGACCTTGTTGCAGCCCACCTGCCCGAGAAGGAAGACAAACAGAGATCAGGAAGACCATGGGAGGCCGTGGGGAAGCAAGCATGGGGCCTTGGGCAAGATACATACTGAGAAGATGAGAGGTAATCTTAGAGGGGAGGAGGGCCTAGCCAAGTACAGAGATGGGAGAAAGGCTGCCCACAGAAGGTGGGATTTGAGCTGGGTCTTGAAGGAATCCAGGAAAGCCAGGAAGCAGAGGTGAGGAGGGAGGGCATTCCAGGCAAGGGGGACAGCCAGTGCAAAGGTGTGGAGTCGGGAGATGTGAGAGGACCAAGTCGCAGTTGAATTGTAGACTTTATCGAGGGGAGTCTAGCCAGAAGACTGCAAAGATACATATGAACAAATACAAAGGAATGCTAGGAGGTGGGAATTCTACTAACTGGGAGCCAGGGCTGACTACTGTAGGAGGCAGTTGGCAGGGTGGCACTAAACACTGGGGGAATCAGAAAAGGCCTTGAGGAGCTGAGTCTTGAAGGAAACTGATCAGTAATCAACAGTGATTAAGCACCTATTACATGCCAGGCACTGTGCTAAGGGCTGGAATTCCCAGGGGAGGAGGGGAGAAGGGAGAGGGGTTTTGACAAAGGAGAGAGTCTGTGCAAAGACCCAGAGACTGGAAAGTCATGGACAGAGAACAGTCCCAGAGGCCAGTGGGACGGGAATGCAGGATGCGTGAAGACAGAGGGAAATCAATCTGGAAAGGGAGGTGGGAGCCTGATGGTGTCTAAAGGCTTGAAATGCTAAACAAGGGAGGTCCCCTCTTATTCAAGGTGCAATTTATTGCCATTTCTAGAGCAGGTAAGTGGCATGGCTTTAGGGAGACCGGTCGGTTAGCTGTGGAGAGCATGAATGGGGGGAATGGAGAGGCCAGGGGCAAGGAAATCAATCAGAGACCCAGGAGTCATGGGTGTGGGGAGCAGGATGAGGCAGAGGAATGGTTCACTGTGACCCATCATCTCCCAGCTTTCTATTTTAACTATTCTTACTAACTAGGGGCTCTATTGTTTCTAGGCCTACAAGTACTATGGGCACCCTTTAAATCCAGCCCCTTAGGCAAAGTCCTAGTGGCCCTGTCCTAGTTATGGCTTCTAGTCTGGAGAGCATCCGTGCACCCTGACTGCCATTTTCTTAGTCTTAGAGAAGAAGAATCCTTCAGATTCCTGTTCCTGGTTATGTAAGGCCCTGATCAGCTCACACTACCCTTGGGCCAGGGCATGGACCCCCGCAAGGCAAGGCTGGGGGCTCTGAAGCTTCCTGGGAGTACAGAAGGGAAGCTTCCTCCTTTCCTCCTCAGGACCTACTGGGATGCTCTGACTCTGGCTCCTGACCTTGAGTGAGGGTGCATCAATCCCATCCTCCTACATTAGGCCATTAAAGTAAAACCCCATTCCAATCGCAGGGCTCCATCTGGAAGGGAATGTGGAAGCCCACTGAATCCAATCCTTTATAAAGGGGGAAACCAAGGCACAGCAAAGGAAGGTGACCTTCTGACCACTGCCCAGACAGCAACACCCCAAATCAAAAGCTGAGGTTAAAAGTCACCTTTGAACACTGGCTGGCCCATTTAGAGGATCACAGAGCTGGAAGGGACTTTTAATTCCCTCACTGGACAGATGAGGAAACTGAGGCCCAGAGAGACTCGTCCAAGGTCACACAGACAGTGAAGTGCCAAAGGCGGGATCTGAACCTGTGTTCTCTAACTCTAGTCAATGCTCTCTGCATAGATCTAGGGGCTTTGGGGAGTGGGTGTGTAGCCTCAGTGAATGACTCCATGCTCATGCATTGCCTGGGAAGAATGCCCCACTGCCAACTTGCCCTTGGGGTATCTCAGAACAGGGTCCCAGATTCCAAGAAACGCACCTGTGGCTGATGGGAAGGGCCCTCAGGTGGTGGGCATGGGCTGAGCATACCCCTGGTGCTGTCATGAGGAGGCCAGAGGCAGGGCTGGTGGGAGGTACTGGCCTCCCCCAAGGCTGAGGGCCCTCCTCCCACCAGCCTGGGTAAGACGGGCAAACCTTGCCATATTGAGTCAAAAACTGGTGGAATTTGAAATCACCCTCAAGACTTGGGTCATGCCAATGTCTGCACCATCTCAGAGTCCGGACAGCCGAGCCCCCCTCTGTCTGCAGCCCAGGTTGACTCAAGCAGACCATAACAACCCCCCTGACAAATACCCAGAAAAGAAAAAAAAAAAAAGAACAAAGATTCTGCCGCTATTTGCAGGCAAAAGGAACTCTCTTTGGACCTGACACCTTGAAAAAGCCCAGACTCTGAAAGGCATTAAAACAAAGAATTAAACAAAAACTCCTCGGGAATTATTTGCAACGCTGCTCTTGGTGTTAAAGCCTGAAAAATGTCCATCTGTATAAACAGCTAACTGAATTTCATCCGCACCAAGTAAGGGGCATGGGGAAGGCCCCGCCCAGGCCTGGCCCAACGCTGCTGCCCAGGCAGCATCTCCCTGGAGCACCCAGGCTCTTGGCCCCACACCTGTCCAGGAACAGCTGGGCTGGGAGGCCTTGGGCCCAGGGGAGAAGGAAGATGGGCTATTCTGGGCCCAGAGGCAGGGAGCCAGTAAGGGGCTTGGGCCGGCCGGAAGGTCCCTTCTCTCTATGGGGCTTAAGAGGCTGGCTGAATCAGAATGGCCTCTGCAACTTACTAGCTGTGTGACCCTGGGCCAGGTCACTGGGCCACTCCGAACCTCAGTTTCCCCATCTGTAAAAAATTGGGAAAAGTAATGGCTTATGGAACTACCTCTCAGGGCTGGGGTGAGGCATTCTAAGGTTCTTTTTTGCAAACTCTTCAGTTTCCAGAGCGGTGGCAGCTGCTCCTTCTGGCCCTGGAAGCTCAGGGGTGGGGGTGGGGGTGGGGGCCAGGATGTGCCCAATAGCCGAGGTCTGGAGGCCTTTAGCTTCTGCACCAGCCCCATGGGCAGGGAGATGATACCCCAAGGTTTAACAGAGGACAGAGCCGGCTGCAGGCTGAGGAGTGGCCAGGCCAGGAAACGGGCTGGGGCACTCTGAATGGGTCTGTCCATAGCTTCCTCAGGGCTCAAGGCCAAAACCTAAGTCAGGGAATGTGAAATTGGCAGTGAATGTAGTCAGAGAATTTGGGTTCAAATCCTGGCCCTGCCACTTACTAGCTGTGTGACTTAGACAAGTCTTTTCACTCTCTAGCCTCACTTTCCTTATCTGTAAACTGGGGTGCTCAGACTAGAGGAGCTCGGAGGTTTCTTCCATCCTTGCTGCCTATACTGGACTCCATGCTCTGGAGGGGCCCACCCTAGGGCCCCTGCTATCCTGATGAGTTAGGGCCTTCCATGGCCCAAGATATCCAGGTTGGCCCCAGCTGGGCTCCCCTTTCCTGCTCAGCTATTTACCCCTGGGTGCATTGTGGCCACCGGCATAGCCTCTGCCCCTGCACCCTTCCCACCCCACCAACTTTCCAGCTCTGGAACCAAAATTCAATCAATACAGTCCTTGGTCTTGGAAAGGCCGTGACCCTTGTCTCCCCCAAGGCTCCACTCACTATCCCTGTGACTCTCCCAACCCAAGTCATCCTCCCTGGCCACCCCTTCCCTTTATTCCACACTGCCTTTCTTTTAGAATAGAAACTTCCTGAGGGCATATCTGTATTTGGAGAGCTTAGTACAGGGTTTGGTATAATACATGGCCTCTCTACTTCCCTCCTTCTCTTCTTCCCCTTCTTCCTTCCCCCTTTCCTTCTTTCCTCTTCCTTCCTCTCTCCCTCCCCTCAGTTCCTCCCTTCCCTTCTTTCTCCTCCCTCCCTCCCTTTCTTCCTCCTGCCTTTCCTTCCTTCTTTACCTTCTTTCTCCTCCCTTCCTTCCCTTCTTTCTTCTTCCTTCCTCCCCTCCTTCCCTTCTTTCTTCTTCCTTCCCTTCTTCCTCCCTCCCTCTCTTCTGTTCTTTCCTTTGCCCTTCCTTCCTTTCCTTTCTTTCTCCCTTTCCTTCCTCCCTCCCTTCTGTTCCTTCCTTTCCCCTTCCTTTGTTCCTTCCTTCCTTCATTCCTTCCTTCCTTCCTTCCTTCCTCCCTCCCTCCCTCCCTCCTTCCATGTAAGCTTATGCCTATAGTCTGGGCAGACAGACATTGTTTGCAGGAGCTGACTAGAGGCTGAGGGATGGGCCAGGCCCAGGAGCAGGCTGGAGGTCCCTCGTAGGCTGTATTAGGAGGGCAGGAATCACGTCTTATTTCAATGGCCTCCCTCCCTCACTGCCTGCGCCCTGCACGCAGTGGGCCTTTAGTAAGGGCTGCTGTGAGGCAAGCCTATGTTAGTCTATACCAGGCACTGGGGACACACTGGCAGAAACACAAGCCTGTGCCTGCCCTCAGGGAGCTTACAATCTAGCCCTACCACACATCCCATGCGGCAGCAGAGGCAGAGGCAGAGAGAAGGGGTGCCCTGCCCTGCTGTGCCCGGGGGCAGAGACTCTCCGTACCTGCATGCAGTGGTAGTGCGTGCTCTTGCCGTTGAGATGGCAGCCGTGGTAGTAGACGCTGCAGTCGTCCAAGGGGCTGAAGCGCATGAAGCCATGCTGCAGGGAGTTGTCTCTCTTCTTGTGCATGTTGTAGTGACGGATCACGTCCTGCTTACTGGTGAATCTCTGCAGGAGAGAGAAGGCCTGGAGGTGAGCCCCAAAGTCTGGGCCTGCCGCTGTCCTCCCCAGGCAGCTGGTGATGGGGCTTGGGTGGGGGGCAGGGACTGGTACTCAGCTGGGATACAAAGACCAGGGTTAAAATCCTGCCTCCGACTGTGCCAGGCTGGTAAACCTTAGACAAGTAACTCTCCAGGACTCAGTTTCCTCATCTGTCAAACTCAAAGGCCTTAGATGCCTTCCAGCTCTGAATCTAAGATCCAAAGTCATTTCAGCTATGTAGGCCTCAGTCTCCTCATCTGCAATGTGATGACCTCTGAGGTCCACTGGGATCCTATGAGCCCACGATGGTGTTATCGGGTGGTTCCATGGGGCTGGGGATTGTCTAGTGCTTCCTAACCCTTAAGCTACCATATAAACAGCTGCCAGAATTATTATCTTACCTTTATTATTACCTTGTTCTCATCTTTTTCAGTGGGTTTCACATAGAAATGGTCCCGGGACAAGTCATTATTGTACCTTTATTCTTCTATATTTAATAATCATAAATTTATAGAATGCTTTAATCATAATAGCTAGCATTTATATAGCACTTTAATAATAATAATACTACTAATATTAGTAATAGCTGGCAGTTATATAATGTGTGGTTCTTGAGTCATTTTCAGTTGCGTCCCACTCTTTGTGACCCCATTTAGGGTTTTCTTGGAAGAGATACTGGACTGGTTTACCATTTCCTTCTCCAGCTCATTTGACAGATGAGGAAACTGAGGCAGAGAGGGTGAAGTGATTTGCCCAGGGTCACACAGCTAGTCAGTGTCTGAGACCTGCTTTAATAACAATAATAGCTAGCATTTATATAGAACCATAATAATAATGATGATGGCTAGCATTTATATAAAACTATAATAATAATAATAATAATATTAATAATATTAATAGCTAGCATTTATATAATGCTATAAAGTTTCCAACGTGCTTTACAAACCTTACTTATCTCATCTTGTCCTTATGACAACCCTATGAAGCAGGTACAGTTGAGGAAACTGAGGCAGACATGGTTAAATGACCTACCCTGGGACACACAGCTATAAATGTCTGAGGCCATGTCTGAACTCAGGTCTTCCAGACTCCAGGCTCAGTGCTCCATTTTGGACTATTATTACTCAGGTGGAGAAATGAACTCCTTTTTGCAACTGAATGAAAGCAGCAGTCTGTAAGCTCATCCTGTACAAGTCTGCTGAAAACAGCTTCAGGATTATTTTTGTTATTATTAGCAGTGACGGTATCTAGTGAAGGGTAGACTCCCCTTGGCCCCCAGGGTTATCCCAAGGGCATGCCTAGTATTTATTACTGAGAGAATCAATCCACCAGCAAGCATGGAATTCTCCCATGAATGATTTGCCCAAAGACACAAATGAGAATTGCCTGGGAAGGGGAGGCCCTGTACTGATCCATCTAAGTGTATCTGAGTGCACCTAGGAAATGCTGACCTCTCATTACTACCCCTAGGGGCTCTCTATTGCCCCAGCCGTATACACAGGTCCATTGGAAGGGGGTAAAAACAGAAGATATGCTTCCTCCCCTCTCTCCCACCACAACTGGAATGGTATTTCTTCAGTCTTCTCTCTGCCATGAAATGGCAGATGTGTGTAGGCATGGGGACAAGCAGAAGCAGGCGCAGATTTGGGCTCGTAGGTTACTGGTACTCTCTGCAAGGCTGAGTTATTCTGTGGTAGTTTGAACCCCCAGCCACGCCCAATGTCTTGGCTGCAGGGCAAGTGGCCGGATCCACTTCTTGCCCCCTACCCCTCTTACCTGATAGTTGCACTCAGGGTCGAGGCAGTGGTAGTGTTCCCGGTACTGGTATGCACAGTGTATGTGGCCGCAGTGCTGACTGCCAGAGAACCTGTGAGGGGAAAAAATTCTGCTTAGGCCAATCCCACAGGCACTGACTAGATACCTGCTCTTTACTTATGCTAGGCACGGAGGCATAAAACCAAGAAAACAGTGCTTGCCCTCAGGGAGCTTCCAGTCCACTCATAGCTATACAGGTAAATAATCGTCAAGCTCATTTATTTATTTATTATTTGACTCATGATCTCATCAATGTAGGGAGCTCCCAGAGGAGGAAATTCCTTCTACCAATGCAGATCACAGCTTCTCTGCAACTTCTAGTCTGAGAATTCACTTAACTTAGGAGTTATGAGTTGTGCAAAGTCATATAATAGGCAGGATTTGAACCCAGATACTCCTGGTTCCCAAGGTCACTTCTTTATCTACTAGGTCCCACTGTATCCCCAATATGGAGCAATTTCAGGGTGGGGAAAGCTAGCATCACAAGGTTTTGTGGAGGAGGAGGAAGGAGGCCACCAACCAGCCCTGCAGGGGTCAAAATGGTGGCAGGGTAGAAAGAAGGAGAGATGGGAAGGAAGTGAAACATAAGGAGAGGGAGAGAATCCGGAGTCTCAGGATTATAGGGATAGACAGAAGCCATCTAGTCCAATTTCTTTACTTTGCAGGGGCAGAAACTGAGGCGAGGGTGGTTAAGTGATGTGTCCAAGGTCATACAGGCAGGATTTGAACTGAGGTCCCTCTGGATGGGCAGCTAGGTGGTGCGGTGGATAGGGAGCTTGCCCCAGAGTTGAGAGGACCTCAGTTCAAATCCAGCCTCAGGCACTTCCTAGCTGTGTGACCCTGGGCAAGTCACTTAACCTCTGTTTGCTTCATTTTCTTCAACTGTAAAATAGAAAGAATATTATCATCTATCTCCCAGGATCCTTGTGAGGATCAAATGAGATATTTGTAAAATGCCTGGCACATAGTAGGTGCTTTATCAATGCCTCCTTTTTCTTTCTTATAGTTACTTTGTGAGGTGAGTAGAGCTAATTATTATTGCCATTTTAGAGATGAGAAAACTGAGGTTCAGGCAGTGGTATCACTCAGACACAGACATATGGTTAATAAGTGGCATACTTGAAAACAGGTTTCTCCTGAGCTCTAACCACCATGTCCTATTGGCCAGGAAAGGTCTGGGGCTTGGGGAGAGGTGGGCCCGAATGGCTCCAAGTTGGGCAGTTCACCCTGAGACAAAGACACATGGCTACCCCAAGAAGGGGAGCTGGAACCAGGAAGAAAGCTGGGTTCCCCCAAGCCCGGGTGGGGATAAGAGGAGCCCCCAGAGGAGTTGGGGGAGGGGGGGATGAGACAAGATGGGAACCCAGTTCAGCCATTCAACTAACAAGTGTCTACTATGTGTGAGGTACTTGGGTACTGGCTAGGGCATAGTCCTTGCTGTTAAGGAGCTTCTGTTTCATGGGAGGCCTATGACAAAGAGCCCTTTGCTGCTCGTTCTTCACAGGGTTCTAAATTTAGAATAGGACGGTACCCTAAAGACTACACCGGCCAATCCCTTCCTTTTATGGTGGAGGGAACTGAAGCCAGGCAGGTGGGGACTTGATTAAAATCACCCATACGAAGAGGCAGAACTGAGGCTTGAACCTGGCCCCCTGATGCTAAATTCGGGGCTCTTTTCACACGGGAACACAGTAAAATAAATTCAAGGCAATTCAAGGTAGGAGAAAGAGCATGAATAACTTGGGAACAGTGATCAGGGAAGGCTCCCCCAGAGGAGGCAGCTTCTAAGAAGGCCCCCCCAAAGAAGGTAAGGCTTTTAAGAGGCTCAAGATAAGATGAAACCAGACTCACTCCACAGAACAGGGCGAGTGTGCTGGGTCTGAATCAATCATCAATTAACAGTGATTGAGCACCTACTATGAGCCAGTATACTGTGCTAAGCCCTACAACAAGAGTGAAGCAGTCCCAGACCTCAGGAGGCTTACATTCTACCAAGGGAGGTAACACGTGTGTGTGTCTATATGTGAATAATGACCTGGCTTGGAATACAGGAAGCCCTGGGTTCAAATCCTGCCTGTGGCTAGCGCATGTTGGTTGTGTGGCCTTGGGTAAATCACTTAACTTCTCTGGGAGTTCCCTTCATTGATGAAATGACAGTTTCAAGCCCCATCCCTTTATAAAATAAATACAAGATAGGTTGTTTTTTTTTTTTTTCAGGTGGGGGGTGTGTACTGGCAATCAGGAGGATCCAGAAAAACTTCTTGTAGGAGGAGGTACTTGGGGACAAAGTTTTGAAAGGAAAGAAGGCCTCCAAACAGTCATAGATCAGAAGGAAGCATGTTCTAGGCACACATCCTTGGCATATGAAGCTGAAAAGTCTGGGAAGGAGGGCATTTGAAAGCCTGCCTAGGCGTCAGTGACCAAGACAGATGGCCAGGGCACACAGTAGGCGCTTACTAAATGTTCATTGAATTAACTGAAGTATAGCCCTGTTAGCTAAGGATAGATAGAGGCAGGAGAAGGCAAATTTGGGCTTGCATCTGTCAAGGAAGCAATGAATGCCCCAGGAGAGGCAGCCAAAACTTGTGAAGTGGCTTTCCCGGACTGGGAAGGTAGAGGAGGCTGGGAACGGGCTGGCCCTGTGGCTGATGCTGACGAGGTGTCTAAAGGGTTATCTCCATCCCCGGCATTTTCTGACACTTGAAACAGTCCAGAGTTATGAATTTTTTAAGCACAGCATCTGTTTGGCTTCCCACAGTGGGGAGCTCACACTCACGCCCGGCTCACCAGCCAGCGTGAAGCCCCGGCCCTCAGTCCCTTCCACCCCGCCCACCTCCCTCCCCACAGCCCTTCTGATGGGATGCAGTGTTAGAGCCCAAATGAATAAATACACGGACCAGAGTCTTCGCAGCAGCTATGATGAAGTTAGGGAGCTCAGTCAGTGTTTACAGACAGGGCCGGTCCCTCTAACGATGACGTGTGAGCCCGAGAGGGAGAGGAGGGGGAGTAAAGGCCCCAATTGTGGGTGGGGGAGAAAGACTACACACAAATAAATATTTAAACTGGAGCTGCCAAAAGGACCATCTGTTGAGGCGCTAATAATGATAATAATAATAATAATAGTAATGATGATAATAATAATAAGAAGAAGAAGAAGAGGGGAAAAGCCATACTGAGGAAGACAGAGACAGACACATAGAAGAAGAGGCCAGAAGAAGACAGTGAGGGAAACTGAGGAGGGGGGAGCAAAAGACAGACAGAGATGGGGCGGCCCCCCATGCCCTCTGCCTGGTTAGCAGTTAGCACTGCCCATGGACCTGGGAAGGTGCTTTGGGTGACTCTTGGGCTGAGTGACAAACATCAATCTTCTCCCCACCCCCATTTGTTTTAATGGATTTAAACAGTTCTGCCCACAGCTGGCCAGTGAAAGCACAGACCCAGTGAGCCTAGGGTTGGGCTATGGGGAAAAGCAGGGGCCACCCTGCTTCCTCCATCTTCCATCCTAATGTGTTGGTCCAGGGGGCAGCAGCCACACCCAAGAGGGCCCGAGCAGGCTGAGTCATTCCTGCTTCTGGTCATCACTCATTCTCCCTGAACAGCTCAGTGACTTGGGGAAACTAAGAAAAACAGTGCAAATACTGTGTTTGCTTATTTTTGTATTGGGGGTCATCTCATGGGTCATTAGTGCCACAGCCCCTTACTAAAAGGGTACGTGAGCATGGAAAAGACCTACGTAAAATGCCTGAGTGCATTTCGGGCTGGCCAGATGGAGGGGATGACCTCTGCACCCATTTTACCTGGTCCCTGGGGACCCTCTCTCCATACCAGCCTCCCTCCAGGAATGGCCTACCTGGCAATATATTTCTGGTAAATATTTACATCTTCGGTGACAGCTGGTTTATCTGTGGGCAATCCGTTCCTGGGGAGAGACACACAGGTCATAAATAGCTGATTGGAGAGGCAGGGAGATGGCCTCCCTTACCTCGGAGCTTCTAGTCCCTTAGTGGGGAGCTCAGACCACCCAGCCCCTTGTCCCCCTGCCCCCTAGGGTTCTGAGGGTGTCAGGCTCATGGCAGAGAAATGCCCTTGGCAAATGAGGGTTACCCATTCAGGTTGCTCAGGTGAATGGTCCCCTATCTGGAGCTAATTCTTCTAAGGCCTAGGCTTCTGGGGGGCAACATAGAGCTTAGCACCCTTCACAAGCTTTAGGAAGAAGGTTCCTGGACCTGAGATAAGGAAGGCACAGGAGGACCTGCTTCTGTCCCCATCTGTTGTCACATCCAGGAGCAATATATGGGCGGACAGTGGCATATCACAGGGCAAGGGAAGGAGAAAGCACAGGAGCAGAGAAGAGAGGAAGAGCTGGCTCAGGCGGTAAGTGTGGGCACGGCCAACACCAGGGACTGTCTGAGGAACTCAGAAGGGCTGGAATTGGGGCTTCCTGGAGACTCAGAGCCTGGAGGGGATTCCTAGCCACAATCAGGCAGTGAGTATATAAAGAAATGGGCCAGACGGGAAGGATCACAGACTTCAGAGCTAGGAGGGCCCTGAGAACAGAGGATGTCAGGGCTGGGAGGGCCCCTGGAACACAGGATGTCGGGGTGGGAGGGCCCTTGGAACAGAGGATGTCAGGGGTGGGAGGGCCCTTGGAACAGAGGATGTCAGGGGTGGGAGGGCCCTTAGAACACAGGATGTCAGAGCTGGGAGATCCCTTAGAACACAGCATGTCAGAGGTGGGAGGGCCCTTAGAATACAGAATGTCAAAGCTGGGAAGACCTTCAAGGTCACCTAGTCCAACTTTCATTTTATGCATGGGGAAACTGAGGCCCAGAGGAAGAGGCTTGCTGAAAGTCATGCAGGTAGCAAGTTGCAGGGCCACGATTCCAACCCGTCAAATTCACCATCCCTTCCATAACACCAGAGTGTTTTCACAGTCAGACTCCCTGACTCAGTCCTCCTCAAGATTTTCTTTACTTCTGACAGCTAGTGGTAGGGTCAGAACCACCAGGAGCTCATGACCGTGGAAGGCTAAGGGGGCCAGACTACATGGGTGACTTCATTACTTCAAGAGGAAGTGAGAATGGCTGCAAGTGAGGCAGCACTATCTCAGGGGCTAATCCCCAGCAAAGGCTGGTGCACCAAGAGGGAGGCAGGTGTGTATCACCAGCCTGGTGAAGGGCCTAGCTCAAGGAGCCAAGGGGAACAGGTGTGTGAAGGCAGCAGGGACCTTTGTGGGAGCACAGCCTGGTTGAGGGACCCCCCAGATCCTAGGGGAGAAGCCCAGGCCCAGAAGCCAGGCCATCCACGGGTAGACTTGGGTGAGCCAAAGGCCCCAGGGATACCAGAAGGACTGGACCATAGGCCTAATGGTCACTCAGGGCAGGAGAGCCTGAGAACACAGAAGGAAGGGCCTCAGTGGTCCAACAGCAAGTCAGGGGGTTGGGGTCCACTGGCCAGGGGTGTCTCACTTTTCACCTCGGTCCTTCTCTCCACAAATACATATCCTATGGGGCCAAGCATAGGCTGCTCCTTAACTAGAGATGTCTTTGAAAGGGAAGAAGAATATACAGGTGTTCTCTGAAAAAAAGACCAGCCCATAACATCTGTGGCAGGACACGCTCAGGCTTTACAGGTCAGATGAGGAAGGCGGAAGGGAGGCCACCCGTTCCCTTATTGCTTGACCAGCATCTCTATGGCGCTGCGGGAGGGCAGGAGAGGGAGGGGCACAGGTGGCCTGGCCCCGTGCCCTCTTTGTACCACCTGCTGGGAAAGGAGAGAGATCCCAAGGCCCGGTCTAATGACCTGGCTTGTTATTACAATCCTTGGCCCTGGGGTTTAGGCACTGGTGCCCCAGGCAGGCAGGGAATTCAGTGGCCAGACCCAGGTTGGGACACAGCCCGTATGAGGGATCAGTCACACTGCAGAGTGAGGTCCCCTCGGCCAAATGAACCCTGTAATGAGGAAAGCCTGGACGGCACGGGGCGGAGCAGCGCTGGCGGCCAAAGGAGTGCCAGGGATGAGTCTTGGGGAAGGAACTCGGGTGGTCATTCTCCAAAGTTGGGAGAGGTTTCCCTCTGGGGGGAGCACAGATGGGAAAGGGAGGAGTATGATGCAGAGAATGCCATCCTCCGACCACGGCTGCCCTGGGTCCCTGAAGAACTCTTGGGGGAGCAGAAGCTGAGTCTCAGATGCAACCTGGCCAGTCACCATTTCTCAGGCCCTAGCCCCCATGGGCACAGCCTGAGGAAAGCTTGTCCCAACAACTCTGAGGGTCCCAGGAACATGGGAGGTTCAGATACACCAGGGCAGGCCAGGGCCCGGCTCCCCTAGAAGACCCACCCGCCACCCTGGCCCCCACTGCTTTGTCCCACTGCTCTGTCTACAATAAGCTCTGGTATCCCGGGGAGGAAACCCCCCAAAACAAACCAGAGATGGTTCCAAGTCTATTTGGCAATGCGCCTGGGCTGTCACTCTAGTTATGGCTCACGGAACAGGGGAAAGGCCTTAGTAGTCTCATCAAGCATGCATTACTTGGGTAAGGGGTGTGTACACGTGTGTGTGTGTGTGTGTGTGTGTGTGTGTGTGTGTGTGTGTGTGTGTGTGTGAAGGAGGCTTACTTGACGGTGGAGACAGTCCCCGTGGTGATGGAATCGGTCTTGGAGAAGGTCGACTTCAGGTACTCGGGAGTGTTGAAAGGCAGGGAGACTGGTGGCTCGGGCCCCACCACAGGGGCAGCTGCACCCGGTGCGCCGGCCAGGGGCGCGGGGGCCAGGCTGGGGGCGGGGGGCGCCTTGACGGGCGCCAGCTTCTGGATGTTGCGGACGTCGTACTTGGAGGGGCGCCCCACCTTGCCGGTCTTGAAGGCGATGGCGCCCCCCATGTCTGGGTTGCCCTCCCCGGGCTTGAAGAGGTGGAGGTATTTGACGTTCTCCAGGTCGTACTTGGACGGCTTCTTGTACGTGTTGCCGTTCTGGGGCCTCAGGCTCTCGCTGGTCTTGAGCTTTTGGATGAAGAAGTCGTACTTGGAGGCGCGGGCCACCAGCCCCTGCATCTGGGCGCTGCTGTGGGAGGGCAGCGGGAGGATGGTGGCCTTGGTCTCCAGGTGGGCCGTGTTGCTGGGCAGCCGCAGGCCCGGCATGGGCCCGGCTTCTTTGCCCGCTCTCTCCTCCGCCTTGGCACCGTGCGTGGGCCACGGGAGCTGTTCGCCGGCCTTGAGCTTGCGGATGTACTCCTCGTACTTGGAGAACCTGGGCCGCTTGCTGTCCTCCGAGGCCGGGGGCGCCGGGGACGCCTCGGGGGCCGCGCTGCGTGGAGCTTCTCAAAGCTGACCTTGCGGGCCAGCTCGTCCCTCACGTTCTGGTCATCGTAGCCGAACATGCCGAGGAACTCATTCATGGTGGTGGCAGCGTAGTCTCGGAGGGAGGAGGCTTCTCCTGTGGGGACAGAGGAGGGGGTCACCCAGGGGGCAGGGCTGGATGAGGGGCGCCTTGTCCCTGGGTCCCCTCCCTCCCTCTCTTCTCTCCTCCCAAGGCGGGGAGGGGGATGTGGTGGTGGTGGGGGGGCTGAGGGGACATGATCTACGGACATTTGGCTCACTTGTTAGGTTTTACGACTCTTAAATTAATTTGTTTAAAAAAAAAGTAATTAATACTGGGGTAAAATAAAACGAGTTCATCAATGCCAGGAAAATCAATTTCCTAAATGTTCTGGCCGATGGCTTTTCAGTACATTAAACAAAGTTTCATAAATGTCTCTGTGCTCTCGCCTTGGCCTAATATGAAGGAAAACCGATTTTACTGGAAGTGAGGCCAGCGAAAATGCACCTCGTGGGCCTTCTCCTGGGAGCCGAGGGAGAGCGGGGGCAAGTGGGAAAATGGGTCAGGGACTGAAGGGGCCCGGAAGCATCATCCAATCAGAGACCTAGATCTGGAAAGAACCTTAGAAGTCATCAAGGACACCCTTCCCCATTTCACAGAAGTCAAAACTGAGGCCCAGAGGAAGGAAGGGATTGGCCCAAGGTCACACAGCAGAAGAACAGCAAGGTCAAAATGTGAACCCAGACGTCTCCCCCAAGATCCAACAGAGAAGACACGCTGGGAGAGGGCAAAGGGGGAAAGAGGGAGTACAGACACCAACACGTCCAAGAGAGAAGGCACAGAAGGCAGGGTCGGGGTAGGGTCATTCATTCCTTCTATGAGCACTCATTAATCACCTACTATGTGTCAGGCACTATGCTAGGTGCTGGGTGTACAGAGAGAAAAATGAAAACTGTCTGGGAGTCTGTATTCTATTGGGGAAGGGAGAAGCAAGGAACAATGTGGACAGAGACAAGGAAACACAAAATATATGCAAATAAATTTCCAGGGAGGAGGGGGAGCGCTGGTAGCTGGAGAGGGCGCTGAGGAATCTTTTCAAGGCCTCCCATGTTCCTCCTGTCTCATCCTAGGCATCACTGATTTAGAACTGGCAAGTCACTGAACTCCTCTGGGCCTCAGTTTCTTCATCTGAAATGTGATATAATGTAAGGTGGGGTGGGACTAGTTGATTTCTAAAGCTCCTTTCTGGTTCTCTCTCTTCTCTCTCTCTCTCTCTCTCTCTCTCTCTCTCTCTCTCTCTCTCTCTCTCTCTCTCTCATAGGACCAGAGATTTAGAGTTGGAGAAAACCTTAGTGATATTTCATCTCTCCATTTTATAGATGAAGAAACTGAGGCCCCTAGAGGGGAGATGACTTGCTTAATCAAGGTGGTCAGCTGTAGAGCTGAGATCTGAACCCAGGTCAGTTCGTCTCCCAGCATGTAATATGTACTTACTATGCAGTCAGGCACTAGGCTAAGCAGATCCATTATTATTCACATCCTTAGAATCAGGGTCATAGCTTTAGAGCTGAAATGGATCTCAGAGACCACCAAGTCCCACCCGCTCACTTTACAGATGAGGAAATTGAGGCACATAAGTTCAGTGACTTGCTCAAGGCTATATGGGTAGTAAGTGACCTAGGCATAATTTGTACCTAGGTCCTTAGAAGCCAAATCCACACTTTTTCCTTTGCCCTTCTCTCCTCACAAAGGGTCCCACCCTTCCCCACCCAGCTGCCACCCTGGCAAATTGCTGTGCTCTGTCTCTTTCTATGGCCCTGTAGAAATGGCACCAGGCCAGGAGAAGCCTGGGCAGGTGACTCTGTGGCTTGGGAACCTGGGCCATCCCAGGGCCTGGCAGCCTAGCTGCGGTCTCTGTGTCCTCCCAAGGCTGCTTTGCTGGTCACTGTGAAGGGAGGAGGGGAGAGGGAGAAGTGGAGCCTTCAAAGGGAGCTGGAGGTCACCCAATAACAGAGCGAAGGAGGAAATACAGATTGGTCTGACGTGCCAGCTCAGATTCATTTAAGCTTCAATCTGACACGGAGGCCCTCCTCCCCTCTTGTGCCCGCAATCGCCTCCTCCCTCCCGCCAAGCAAAGATTTACTGTGTGCAGGAGTCCTTCAAAACTCCCTCCTCATCGCCTCCAATCACTCACTGCAACTCTCCTGGGTGGGTGGTACAGGGGGAGCAAGCACAGGCTTGGGCTGGGAATGGAATCTGGCTCTCAGGGGTTCGGATGGCTTCCTGTCACCTCCCCTCACCCTCCTCACCCCACAAAAAGACTCAGAGCTGCCTAAAAAGCTGGTTGATGAGGGCAAGGCCCTAGTGGAAAGGAGGAAGACCATGCTACAATCTGGCAACTGAGCGGGATTTAGGAATACGCACGTGCACACATACGTGCAGACACATACACAACCTTACTGAGCCACTTAAACAATTTCCCAAATACATCAAGGCAGGCATACAACTCCATAATCACATATACACAGAGACTCACACAGGTGTGGGCAACTCTCCAGCCCAAGTGACAGGAAGCACAAGTTTACATGTGCACATGTGGTCCTTTTGTGTAAATGACAAATTGTTGGAGTTTTGCTTTTTGACCCATTCTGCAATTCTCCTCTGTTTTATGGGCAAATTCATCCCATTCACATTTGGGGTTGATTCCTGTAATTACACACGCACACCACACACACATACACACACACACACACACACACACACACTCTAGCCAATGTGAGGAATTAAGAATTGGTAGCAGAAGAGTGACCAAATGTTCACAGAATTACAGAATCTTTGTTAGCCAGCAAGAGGGACCAGTGTGTCTTGAGTCTAACCTGACAGATTATACCCAGCACACCCTGGGTCAGAGCAGATGGGAAGGGAGAGAGAGAGAGGAAGGAAGGAGGAAAGGAGGAAGGAGAAAGGGAGGAGTGGGGGAGAAGCTTAGGATCTCCTGTAGGAGCCCTTGGAAGGATTTCTGTTCCAGAGAAGGCACTGTGTCCTGTTTTGGGGCTGGTGAGAAGGTTTGGTGGCCGGACTCATGACTAGCTCCCCAAGACAATGAGCCCCCAGGGGACAAGGCACTCTGAGCTCCCCAAAGTCCTGGGCCATCCTCTCACTACCCCCTCAGGTGACAGTAAGGAGAGGGACAAAAGCAGAAGCCCTCTGGGAAGAGATCAGAAGGGAGGCTGCTCTCTGCACACTGCTGTCTTGGAACCTGGGGCAATGTCAGCCCTGGAGGGACGAGTGGGCATCCTGTTCACACGCAGCACCCAGACGGAGAAGGCCCTAGGAGGCGGGCAGTGCCAGGCCCCGGTGGCTGTTGGCAGAAAGCAGGGCAGAGGAGAGGGCTCTGGCCCCAGCACATGTGTCTCAGGGACAAGGGGAAGCAGACTGAAAATAGCTGAAGACAGCGTACTCTATATGGCAGGGAAGTCCTCCCAGGGCAGCTCGGAGGGAGCAGGGGCCGGGGGGCCCTAGGCTAAAATCTATGGCCCTGAGCCCCTGGGAGTGGGCAGGCATGAAGGGCTGGCCTGGCCTGGGAGGGGATGAAGGAAGGAAAACCAGGGGCACCCGGCACAAAGGGCTGGCAGCTTCCATGGGCGGGGAGCACAGAGGGGGTGTGGCCCCACAAAATGACCCCACTGGAGTCAGGCTGAGAGGATTAAGAATGGAAAGGCCCACCTGGCCAGCCCTGGTCCTCCAACCCTCAGTCACCATTTGTTCTGACCTGTGGTTGGAGGCCAAGGAGAGGGAGGGGCACCCCAGGCCAGGCTGACCCCCCGTTGTTCCCCCAGTCTCCTTCCATGGCAGGCATGAGACCCTTCGGAAGGAGGCCAGGAGCAGCTTGCCCTAGTAGCTGTGGGGGGTAGCGGGCAGCAGAGATGGGAGACTTCCGGGGGCCCACCCCCCAGCCCTGGTGCAATCACCTTGTGTCTGAATATGGCAAGGGCTTTCCCTATCAGAGGAAACTGAAGGTCACACTTTTCCTCATTGATCTTGCAATGTTTGTTAATTACTCTGTCACTGATGTGGCGAAGGATAATTAAACAGCTCTGTTTATATCTTATATGCATAATTATGTGGCTGCCTGGGCTCCCTGCACAGGGAGGAAGATGCGCCCCTCACTGCAGGGGGGGTGGGGTGCTGGGAAATGGGGCTGGGGGAGGGGCAGATAGGGCCGACTCACTCCTCCTGAACCACCCCAGGGGCTGGGAGGGAGGAAAGGAGGGCATCAGGACAGATCCATGGCTGGGGGGATTCAGTCCCACTGGGTGATCACCCCAAAACTCTACAGGGTATCCTACAATCCACCCGTAGTCAGATCTCTGACTCCCTAACTTCTCCTCCACCCCTCCTCCCTTTCCAGGAGGTCAGCAGAGCAGGTATAGGCCAGCCAGACTGCCCTGCCCTGGGATGCCCAAAGATCCACACCCCAGGGTGCCTCGCTTCCTAAGGAAGATGCAGGAGATGGGATTATAGCAGTAGAGCTGGAAGTGACCTCAAAACCCCATCTAATCCAAATATCTCATTTCGCAGTTGAGGAAACTGAATTAGATGACTTGCCCAAGGCCACACATAGATACCAAGTGAAGTGGGGGGGTTCAAACTCAGGTCTTCTGACTTCAGAGCCAGTGTTCTTTCCACGGTATGGAAAGGTCTTCTAGTTAGTGGAAAGAAATGGATAAATAAGTTAGGCCAAGGTCACTCGGGGGCCCCAGGAGAGAGCTGGGAAGAGGACAAGCCAGAGGGCAGTTTAGATAGAAAGAGGCAGGAGGCAGGAGGCCAGAGCAGAGGCTGGAGGGAAGGAAGCAACAGAGAAGACCTTGGCAAGGTTAGAAGGGAGATTAGCCTTAATCTGCTTGCCCCTAGAGGCCAGAGCTAAAAGCATGGGTGGAAGTTACATGGAGGCAGGTTTCAATTTGATATAAGGAGATAACTTTCTAACATTTCAAGCTGGCTCCAAGTGGAAGAGGCTCTCCTGGAAGTGACTCTGGAGCCCAAATGATCATTAATTCAAGATATTCCAGAAGGGGAATGGTAGAGGTGGAGATGAATGCATTCATTCATTCACTCAGTCATTCATTCACTCATTTATTCATGCTGCAGACGGTCCCTTCCAGCTCCAAAATGATAAGATTCTATAAAATATCCAAGGAGTAGGTGTAGGGGGATGGGGCGAGGGTGCAGGGAGACTGAGGCATTTTCAGAATCATTCCGAGGGAAAATCAAAGACATAAATATGTAGAATGCTAACCAGCCTTCCTGCTGCCTCTGTCTACACACTCTTACCACGCTTTTGGGAAACAGATGCCAGTGCATAAGAGCTCACAGTCCCTGCCAGGCGTGCCTGCTCACAGCCATGTTCCCATTTGACAGCCTTCCTGATCAGTCCCCTACACTCCTGCCCCTGGGCCCACTTCTTGGCTCCAACCCCTTCCCCAGATTCTGCTCCATGGGGCCTGGTAAGAGCCACTGAGATGCGGTGGGGCCAGGGCAAGCTGGTCCTTCCTGCTGGGCTCCGGGCGGATCCACCCTTCTTCCCAGGGCACCATCAACCCCTTCCTCCTTCCCTTCCTGGGAAGATCCTGGCAGAAAGAAAATGCCCAGACTGACACCCACACGGGCCAGTTCCTGTCACCCTCGTCTGAGTAGGAGCACCTAGACAGACATCAGGGGTGTCGCCCTTTTCCATCTCTATCCCAGGCACTTTGTAAGAACTAAATAAATGTGCCTTCCTTCCTTCCCTCTTTCCTCCCTTCTCTCCCTTCCTCCTCTCCCTCCTTTCCTTCCTTCCCTCCCTCCCTTCCTTTTCTGTTTCTATCCTTCCTTCTTTCTTTCCTTCCTCCCTTCTCTTCCTCCCTTCCTCCCTCTTCTTCCCTCCCCTCCTTCCTCCCTCCCTCCTTTCCTTCCTTCCTCCCTTGTTTCTTCCCTCCTTCCCTTTCCTCTTTCCAGCCTTCCTTCTTTCTTTCCTTCCTCGCTCTCTTTCTACCTCCCTTTTCCCTCCCTTCTCTCCTTCCTCCCTTTTTTCTTTCCCTCCTTTCCTTCCTCTCCTCTTCACTTCTTCTTCCCTTCTCTTTTTCCTCTCTCCTTCCCTTTCTCCCTTCTTTCCTCCCTTCCTTGACAGGTCACTGGGCATGGAGTCTGGAAGACCTAAGTTCAAATCCACTCTCACACACTGACTAGCTGTGTGACTCTTAGCAAGTCACTTCACTCTGCCTCAGTTTCTTCAACTGCGAAATGGAAATAATAGGACCTACGTCCCAGGGTTGTTGTGAGACACAAATGAGACAAAAATTGTAAAGTCCTTAGCACACAGTGCCTGGTACAGCAGATACTTAATACATTTTCCTCCCTTCCTCCCTCCTGTCTTTTTTCCCTTCCTTCCTCCCTCTTTTTCTTCCTTCTTCCTCCTTCCTTCCTCCCTCCCTCCTTCCTCTCCTTCCTTCTTCCCTTCCTTCCCCCCTCTTTTTCTTCCTTCTTTCTCCTTTCTTCCTTCTTCCTTCTTCCCTCCCTCCCTCTGTTCTCTCCGTTCTTCCCTCCGTCTCCTCGTCACCTCCAAGATCAAATACAAAATCCTTTTTTTTCTTTCACAGTCCTCTATAACCTGGCCCCTTTCTCCCTTCTGGGCCTCCTCATTGTTCCTGGCACCCAGTTCTCCATCTCCCACCTCCGAGCATCGCCTCTGGCTGTCTGCCGTGCCTGGACCGCTCTCTCTTCTCATAGCCTCCTCCTCCACACTTTCCTGCCTTCCTTAAAGTGCTAGCTAATGTCCCACCTTCTGCCAGAAGCCATTCTCAGGTCTCCTCAATCTTAGGGCTTTTATCTGGCCTCCATCTTGTTGGTACACAGTTGTTTGCACAATGTCTCACCTGCTGAACTGTAAGCTCCCTGAAGGCAGGGACTGGGTTTTTTTGCCTTTCTTTTTATGTGCTTACCATAGTGCCCAGCACATAGTAGGTGCTTCATAAATGCTAGCTGCCCTACTGAAGCTTGCTGGATTTGGAGTTGGGGGAGCTGGGTCCAAGGCATGGCTCTGTCATTTACTGCCTGTAAGACCCTGGCTAAGTCCTTTACCCTCTGCAGGTGTCTGGGTTCTTCATCTATCAAATGAAGGGGTTGGCCTGAGGTCCCTTTGGCTCTATAACAGGTCTTTGATCTTATGACTTCACCTGGGTTCCTCCACTGGGAAAGCCTCAGGACCTGGGTACCCCACCCCCAAACCCCAGCCTTCTTGGGGTGATGCCTTACTGAGAGAACTCCCCAAGAGTGATCCCAAAGGATGCCTGAACTCCAGGTAATGAGACACCAAAGTGGGGGTGGCCTCACCTGAAGCCTGCTTGGCATTGTTCGCACCCTCCTCCTTGGGCGCTAGCCCATCTGAGTCCCGTTCTTCTAGGAAGCTGCTGCTCTGGGAGGTGGGCCCCCGAGTTTCCTCTGCGTGGTCCTCCTCATCGCTGCATCCCTGGGGCTGTACCATGTAGACACCCTCAGGGGGCAGCTCGAGGCCCTCGCGGACACTGCGCCCTATGACTGGGGCTGGGGATGGCTCCTCACTGTACTCCCCATTGACCCACTTCTCAATCACGGCCCGCCGCCTGTCCTCCTCGCTCCGAGGCGTCTGGGTGACCCTGGCCTCCGACCCGCCGCCCTGCTCCTTCTCCCGGGGCCGCAGGGGGTTGCCCTGGCTGCCTTCTGGCCGGAGGCCCGTCTCTGCTCCCTGCTCCACCACCACCTGGCGGCTCAGCTTGGCACAGATGGCATTGAGCTTCAGGCCGCCTTTGCGCTTGGCCGCCATCGCGGGTTTTCCTGAGGATGGGTCAGGGCATAGAGCGCCTTCAGCTGGAGGGAGAGAAAAGGAGACAGATGGTCAGGCAGACACTGAGAGAAAGCATCACCTCCCCTTAATCGGGCAGCCACCTGGCAAAGATTTAGAAAATGCCTTCCTCTATACTAGGTGCTGGGAATATACAGACAAAAATAAGACACTTCTTGCCCTCAAGAAGCCTCCCCATGAAGCCTCTGTAGTCTTGCCAGCAGGCGGATGCAATGGACACGGACTTGTATTTAGAGTGAAAATTCCAGTGTCTGAATCTCAGCACTGCTCCTTGCTGCCTGTGTGGTCCTAGGCAAGGCACTTCAGCAGCCACCACGGCACAGATAGCTGGCATTTATATAGCACCTACTGTATGCTAGGCACAATTGTGCGACGTGTCTTACAGATATTACACTCACAACCACCCTGGGAGGTAGGTGCTGTTTTTACCCTATTTTACAGATGAGGAAACTGAGGCAAACAGATATCAAGTGACTTGCCCAGGGCTACACAGCTAGTGTCTGAGTCTGTGTTTGAACTCAAGTCTTCCTGAGACCATGCTGAGTGATTTATCAAGGAAGGAAGGGAGGGAGGGAGGGAGAGAGGGAAGGAGGGAGGAAGGGGGGAGGGAGGGAGGAAGGAAGAAGGAAAGAGAAGGGAGGAAAGAAGGGAGGGAGGGAGGGAGGAGGGAGGAAGGAGGGAGGGAGGAAGGAAGGAAGAAGGAAAGAGAAGGGAGGAAAGAAGGGACGGAGGGGAGGAGGGAGGAAGAGAGGGAGGAAGGAAAGAGGGAAAGAGAGACAGAAGGGAGGAAGGACAGAAGGAAGGAGACAAAGAAGGAAAAAAGGAAGGGAGGGAGAAAGGAAGAGATGGAGGAAGGAAGGAAAGAAAGAGAAGCAAGGAAAGGAGGGAGGAAGGAAAGAAGGGGGGAAGGAAGGAAAGAGAAGGGAAGAAGGAAAGAAGGAAGGAGAGAAAGAAGGAAAAAAGGAAGGGAGGGAAGAAGGAAGGGAAAGAGGGAGGGAGGAAGAAAGGAAAGACAGAGAAGTGAGGAAAGGTGGGAGGAAGGAAAGAAGGGAGGAAGGAAGGGAAGGAGGGAGGGAGGAAGGAAGGGAGGGAGGGAGAGAAGAAGGAAGGAAGGAAGAACTTAGTCTTGCAGACTCTGGGTCCCAAGCCTCGTGGCTAGGGCAGGCAGTGGGAAGAGGGACAGAGCAGTGAGCCCAACCCCAAAGGGGTCACTGAGGTCTCCTTTCCAACACAACAGCCCCCGCTGTCTGTCACAGGCATCCTCTCGGCTGCGCTGGCCTCAAGCTGATCACCTGGGCCCAGACCGGTCTAGCCTTTGGTTTGGAGGGGACCAGGTGGATGCCCGTTCCCCAGGTTCAGGCCCTGTCCCTGGCAGATGGAAGAGCCCTGCCCTCTCCTCTAGCTTTCTCTTTTCTGTGTCCATTACCACAGAGTACCCCTGAGCCCTGGGAAAGCAAATACAGAGCTGGATTGGAGTCGGAGGACCCAGATTCATTCACTCATCCAATTCCTTCATTCCCAGTTTCCCCAGGGAGGCCGCCTGGCACAGCAGAAAGTTCGCTGGATCTGGACGGGGAGGATGCTTGGTGCACGAGTGACCCTGGACAAGTCCCCCGACCTCTGGAGGACTTGGCTCCTCACTGGTCAAGTGAAGGGACTGGAACCGAAGGCCTCCTACTGCTCTCTGCACTACCTTAGCCAAATCACCTCCCCCTTCTCTGTAAAACAGGGGAACTGGATTAACCATCAGTCAGTCAGTCAGCAGGGCCGAGCGCCGGGCTAGGTGCTAGGGACACAGGGACAAAGAAGGAAAAAATGCTGACTCTGGAGAGAGGGACAGCCATTTGGACAATCTCGAGGGGTCCTTGTGGTCCTCATGGTCTCTGTTCAGCTCCTGCCCCCAGGTTCTCTTACCCTCCTTCCCTTTCTTTTTTCCCTCTATCCCTCACCACTTTCTTCAGACCTATTCCCTTCTCAATTTCTCCATCCACTTCCCTTGAATCTGGAGTCCAGGGATCTTGGATTCCAATTCTATCTAGGTCACTTAATACCTCACCTGTAAAATGGGTGAATTGGACCAGAAGACCTGTGAGGTCCCTGGGATCCTAGGCTTTCTTTCATGAGCAGCCTTAAGACTCCTCATTCCCCACAGCACCCCCCCCCACTTTGCACTACCCCTCCCTAGGCTAAGAAGCATCTCCCCTGGTACCTGAAACACCCCATCCCCTTTCTCCAACAATCTGTCTGCTTCCTAAAGCCCATGAGGGAAAGAGGAGGGGAAGGTCCCCTGGGAGCTCCCGCCATCCACTGTCTGCTCTGCTCTGTGGCTCCCCACAGTCCCAGCTGGGAACAGGTTGGGATTCCTCAGACCCCCTACAAGGAACCCAGAAGCTTCTGCGATGGCTCCTAATCCCTGAACATGACAGCTAGACACAAACAGGCAGAAACTTTAGCTGCCCCGTCCAAGGGCCGGCCCCACTGCTGCAAAGCATAAGCCGGTGGCTCCAAGCTCTCCAGGGGGAGCCCATATGGTCCAGGGGAGCACAGCCCACCTCCCCACCCTGAGGCTCCCCCACACATACCCAAACACTCTCTCCTCTTCCCTCTCTCTCCTGTTCTCTCTGCGTCTTTCCTCTCCTCCTCTTTTCTCTACCTCGTTTTCCTCTCTCTCTCTCTACACACATACACACCTATACATCACCCTCACTTCTTAAATCTACTCTATGGAGAGACACACACTATGAATCTCTCTCTCTTTCTCTCTCCATTTCTCTCTCTCTCTGTCTCTCTCTCCGTCTCTCTCCCCACATCCATTCAGTCGTTAGAGCTTATAGATGCATCTGCCTTGGACACAGCATTTGTCACATCCATTCCCTTCCACCAACTCACACCACAATCCTTCTGGTTCTAGTCCTCATCAGCCTTCAGCAGCTCTTTATTGCCTCTAGGATAACACAGAATTTCCTCAGCCTGGTATTTAAAGCCCTCCACCATCTGTCTCCAGGACACCTTTCCACACTGATTTTAACCTTTCCCTGCTCTATGTTCCAGCAGGCCAACTGGCATTCTCCTGAATTCTCCTGCTTCTCGCAATCTCCCACTTCCATGCTTTTGCACAAGCTGTATCCCTCACACCTAGAATGCCCTCATTTCTCACTTCCGCCTTAGAATCCCTAGCTTCCTTCTAGACTTGGTTCAGGTGCTGTCCCTTAATTCTCCTGTTAGTCAACAGCTGTCTCCCTCAAATTACTTTGTATTAATTTATCAGTTTACACGCTGTATCCCCCTATCAAAACATAGGCTCTAGTTGGGTCACAGACTGAAAGCCAGAAGGGACCTGAGAGGTCATCTGGTCCAATGCCCTCATTTTATAGATGAGGAAACTGAGGCCCCACAGTGACTTGCCTAAGATCACACAGATCTAGCCTGGATTCTAACCCTGGATTCTGCCTCCAAATCCATCATTCGGCTCCTTTTGTAATATCCTTAGCACCGAGCTCAGTGCTCTGAACACCACAAGCGCCTGATAAGTGCTTGCTGTTGTAGCAGAAATTCAAGGATGTCATAGGCCAGAATTTCCCTTGAAACATGACAAGTGTATAGTAATATCCTAAAAGGCTCTGCCCGGCGGCATGGTAGTAAATGTTTTACATCAGGCTCTCCAGAAAAAAATGCATAAAGGACACACTTATTAAAATTTTCCTTTGTTAAATCTAGACAGTCAACAAGATTACAAACCCAGCCCTAATGGACATTGTTCATAGATTTCTAAGGTGTGTAAATGCTCACACTTGGAATTTAACAACCGGCTCTTTCGGGCCATTCTGGCAAAACCCTGCTCTGCCTCTCAATATCAACGCTATCAAGTCATTCCACAGTGTGTCAACATCTGTGAAGACACACATAGATAAACACACACAGACGAGGGGACGTTCACACTTGTGTATGCCATAGAGGCACACAAACTCCATTTATTCATCCAATTAGTTCATTAATGAACCTTCAATTGGAGGTTTCTTTACAATGGCCCTCAATTGAGGGGCATCATTATTACTTTATTTCAGCTGGGGAAACTGAGGCAAGGTCACACAGCCAATTAGTGTGCCAGACTGAGTTAAGCTAAGGTTGGGAGGGAGGAGAATTTTCTCATCTCTGGAGCCACAGATGGGAAGACACTCCTCCCTCCCTTCTTTGCCGAGGTGGGGGGATCTTTGCCGAGGCCCACAGATCACACAGGTAGTTATCAGAAGCAGGATCCGAGTTTGAGGCCCCTAACTTTGGGAGTCCATAAGGGTCAGGACCTAGCTGCTCCTACTAGGCAGGGGAAGGCAAGAGGCACTCATAGAGTGTGGGACTCTGGATATACCATCACATGGGATTTTTGCATCAGTTCATTTTGCTAAACTTCTGGACCTCCTTCCAGCTCCCCTCCTTTTCACGTTATAAGAGCTAATTTACTGGGCAAGAGATTGGAGAGGCATATATGGACATATATCTGTATCTATAGATATATATGGATATATCTCTATATGTCTATAGAGATATATCCATGTATCTATATATCTATATATGGAAATATATCTATATAGAGAGATATATGGATATCTCTATATACACACATATATAAATGAAATTGATTAAAACAAAATATATAAATTAAAAACAATTTTTAAAAATTGTGTGTCAGAGCCAGGATTTAAACTCAGTTCACAGAAAGCAGCAGTACATAGACTCTGGAGTTACAGGTCCTGAGTTCAAGTCCTGTTTGCTGTCTCTGTGACAGTGGGAAAGTCGCTTAACTTTTCTGGGCCTCAATTTCCCCCTCTGTAAAAGGAGGGCATTGGATTAAATGACCTTCTAGCCCCAGGATACCCATTTTGCAGGGCTAAGAAGGCTTTTTGAGGTCATCTAAGCCACCTCCCAGCTTACAAAGAAAAAACTGAGGCCCAGAAAACTCAAAGGATTTGCCCAACATCACTCAGGTGGCAGAGCCAGGTTTCCCAGA